CAGCTTTGATGTGTCGTTCTGCTTTCACTCGGCTTCTCCGGTCACCAAACATCAAGATGCGCGGAGGCACCACACATGAACGGCCTCAAGTTCATCTGTCGCCCCCTAAGCAGTAAGCCCAGTGTCTGGTCTACAAAATCTGTTGTGCTTGCAGCTCTCTACTGTTCCCAGTAAGCAGCGAAACGCTATAGTTTCAAATCCGTAGTATACATCTCTTCAAGACTAGAAACGAGGGTTCAAACTTCCAAGAAACTGGCAGCACCAAGCACCTATCCTAAGAAAGGTCATGGGCATGGGGAGCCTTCGATGACCTCCTGGGTTGCCCCGTGCCCTGGCCCCAGGCATCTATAATTTACGGTATATTCCTTAATGAAGGGGTATTGGGTTCCAGTGAGAAAGCGTGGACCCCACGGCGCAGTTCAGGAGCCCTTCATGCCTGCTATGTTGCTTGAGGGCTGTTTGCTTCTGTTGTGGTTCAGAATGACGGACAATCATCAAAACACGATTTTACAGGCTGCACCCCAGGCCATGAAATCTGAAGCTGAACCTATAGTCTCCATTGTGGTAGTTTTTGGTCAACCAAGATCTGTATTATAGCATCCTCACCATAAAATTGGGTAACCAAACAAAAAGAGCACTACAATGGAGTCTATAGCTAGGCCCCAAACCCTAACCCTTGAAGAGCCCTTATAGAACCCCTATACACCCCCTATATAAGCCCCTTTAAAGGATCCCTTATACACCCCTTGAAACCCTAAACCGCAAACCCCAAGGCTTCCACACCAAATTGAAACCTCTAGATCGCATTAAGGGATATACTCCTTAAACTATAGAGGCCTTACTATTCTGATCTAAGGCATACTCCGACTTAGTTAAGGGGAACACCAAATTGAAACCTCTAGATGTGAGCTTCCGAGAAGAGGGGACACTAATAGTAATATAGTGCCCTAAATTATAGTACGATTGCTCTTATAAGGACCCCAAAATAGAGTACCCCTAATTTGCGGAAACCACGAGATCGCTGGAAAGCTCCAAGCTTCCTTGGCCACTTGGCTGATGTCCTGCGCGCTGAAATGTCGCCAAAGGGTGTCCTTGAGAGGCCGTCTCCCTCTAGTCATGATTGTTACCCTAAACCCCTAAGCCCCTGAATCCTAAACCCAAGCAAAACCCAAAACCAAAGTCTCGTACATACACCTTAAACCCCCAAACCTCAAACCCTTCTGAATACACCTTAAACCCCTAAACCCACGACCCCAAAAGCCCTAAACCCTTCTACATACACCTTAAGCCCCGAAAACCCTTGTTGTTTGGGACCTCCTGCTTGGAATTAAGCAACTCTGCGAGGTTAGGTTCAGGGCTTAAGGCCTCTATGCACTTAAGTTTTGGTTGTGGGGTTTACCTGAAAAGACCTACCGTTTTAGGGTTACTTATTATGGTTTCTGTATATAGTTCCCTAAGAAAGTAGATCCTGTCCGCTACGGGTAGGGCTTAGGTGCATCTTGGGATCGTCATCCGCTTGTGCACCGGTGACGATGCCCTCTAAGAGCCACTCGGTCGGCGGGGCCTGGCCGGAGTTTCGAGCAAAGGCCGTCACATGGTGCTACAAAGTCACGGTTTAGGGTTTAGGGTTTAGGGTTTAGGGTTTAGGGTTTAGGGATCGTGCAAGCTCTAACTCTCAACAGAAGCACTACGCAAGAAAGTCCACACCCACAGATCCAAGCGAAATGAAATAGCCATCCCCAGAACGAAGACACCAAACACGCCGAAACCAAGATGTGCGCATGGTGACACTGACCCCAAAACCCAAACCCTCTGAAAGCCCAAACGCTAAACCTAAACCCAAAATCCTAGACCCCTAAAGCCCTGAAAGACCAAACCCCGAACACAAAACCGAAACCCCAAACCCTAAACCCAAGACACCAAACCCGAAAGCCCTGGGACAGGTGAATGGTGGTAAAAATTAGGGTCCCTTTGGGGGTCCTTATTATAGAACGGCACCTAATATGTAAGGTACCCAAAAAGGGACCCTAATTTTGACAACTACCCATATTATAGTATATACCCTTATAGTATCCCTTATGGTATCCCTTAGAGTAACCCTTATAGTAACCCTTATAGAGCCCTTTCAAGGGACCCTAATTTTGACAACTACCCAGGTGTTTGGCGCCTAAACCCCTAACCCCTAACCCTAAACCCCTAAACCCTAAACCCCTAAACCCTAAACCCCTAACCCCTAACCCCTAAACCCTAGACCCCCAAACCCTAAATCCTAAACCCCTAAACCCCTAAACCCTAAACCCCTAAACCCTAAACCCCTAAACCCCTAACCCCTAAACCCTAGACCCCCAAACCCTAAATCCTAAACCCCTAAACCCCCGGACCTCTAAACCACCAAACCCCAAAGCCCTGGGACAGGTGTTTGCTTGGGGTGTCGGGGGACTTCGTAAGTAGTTAGTAAGTAGACTTATAAGTACCCTAAAAGGGGCCCTAATTGGGGTTACGGTACTTATCAGTCCCTAAAATAACCAGTTACTAAGTCCCCCGACCCTCCAAGAGGTGTTTGGCGCCTTGTACCTGCGAGCCAGGCGTTCGCTCGCCCGCTCGAGTAGGAGCGGCTCCTCCAGGGAGCGCCTCGGGGGGCTATGGGTCTCCAAAACAGATTTATAGCGATGTATATATATATATATACATGGAGAGAGAGAGAGAGAGAGAGAGAGAGAGACCATATATATATATATATATATATATATATGTATATACACACACACATATACACATACATGTATATATATACATATATACACATACATGTATATGTATATATATATATATATAGACAGAGAGAGATGGAGAGATATTCATACAGATACAGCTACAGATACAAACACAAATGTAGATATAGAGACAAAGATAGGCATGGAAAGAAAGCTTGGTGGACAAATAAGCAGATTGATACATCGACAGATAGATGGTTGTCAAAATTAGGGTCCTTTTTGGGGTCCTTATTATAGTACGGCACCTACTATTTAGGGTACCCAAAAAGGGACCTTAATCTTGACAACTACCCAGATGGAGCCATCGATCGGCCACGAGATGGAGCGCGGCTGTTGGTATCCTGCCTGTAAACCGTAATCCTAAACCCTCAAAGGGCCCTTAAAGGATCCCTTAAAGGAGCCCTTAGGGGGCCCTTCAATGCCAAGGAGGTAAGATATGTAGAAGTCACCATGAAGCGTGGAAGGATCAACTCTGCTGTTTCAGGAATACCTCTAACCCCAAGCCCAAATGATCAACTCTGTTGTTAAGGGAGTACCACTGGCCACTCACTCCAGAGGCCTACAACCTCGGGCGTGCCTTATGTTGAAACCAATCCTTCTTCTATAATTACCTGAATACATAGGTGATCTTTTGGATTACAGCTAGCCGAGGTTGAGGATTTGGACGTTCTTCTAAAGGTACGCTTCCTCAACCAGGAGATCCTGATGGCTGCTTCGTGGATTTTCCCAGAGACTCCATTGCGCTTGATGGAGCTGTAGCAGCTATAATGTTGGAGTGGTTTTAATAAACCCCCCCCCCCCCCCCCCCCCTGAGGTTGTTTTGCGCGGAGGTCTCTTGGGGCAGGGTCTGGGGTCAGGGTGGCAATAGTAAACCTCTGGCCTGCTCCGGGCCTAGTATACTAGTAGTAATAGTAATTAGTAATAATAGTAGTAATAGTAGTAATAGTAGTAATAGTAGTAATAGTAGTAATAGTAGTAGTAATAGTAGTAATAGTAGTAATAGTAGTAATAGTAGTAATAGTAGTAATAGTAGTAATAGTAGTAATAGTAGTAATAGTAGTAATTAGTACGTGAAGTCTCAACCTCTGGCATTTGCAGCACTCTGGCTTCTGTGCCCTCGGCCTTTCTGCTTTCCTTCTGAACTCCCTCTGACGCCACTGGACTGAAGCAAGGAGTCTGGCCTAGCTGGCGAGGGTTTGTTTCTGTTTAACTAATTAGCCAATGAATATCTGAGGCCATGGCAGCCTCTGATGCGGACATGGCTCTGGCTGGGGAGTCTTGTCTGTGTCTTCTTGTTTTTGGGTTTGGGTTTCTGCGAAAAAGGGTCTGGGTTTTGGTGTCTGGGTGTAATTAACTTCTGCCCTTTTGTTTATCTGAGGCACCATCTGGACCCCTGGGCAATGGCGAGCCTTGGCGATAATCTGCGAGAAAGGGTCTGGGGTTTGGGGTCCTGGGTGCGACTTCTGCTCTTATCTGAGGCACCATCTGGACCCCTGGGCACTGGCGAGCCTTGGCGATAATCTGCGAGAAAGGGTCTGGGGTTTGGGGTCCTGGGTGCGACTTCTGCTCTTATCTGAGGCACCCTCTGGACCCCTGGGCACTGGCGAGCCTTGGCTTTCTGGGGTTTGGGGTTCTGGGTGCGACTTCTGCTCTTATCTGAGGCACCCTCTGGACCTGCCAACCCTGGCGAGCCTTGGCGAAAATCTGCGACAAAGGGTCTGTGTTTGGGGTTCTGGGTGTGACTTCTGCTCTTATCTGAGGCACCCTCTGGACCTGCCAACCCTGGCGAGACTTGGCTGTAATCTGCGACAAAGGGTCTGTGTTTGGGGTTCTGGGTGTGACTTCTGCTCTTATCTGAGTCACCCTCTGGACCGGGCAACCCTGGCGAGACTTGGCGATAATCTGCTAGAAAGGGTCTGGGGTTTGGGGTTCTGGGTGCGACTTCTGCTCTTATCTGAGGCACCATCTGGAGCCAACAACCCTGGCGACACTTGGCTGTTTCTGCGAGAAAGGGTCTGGGGTTTGGGGTTCTGGGTGACTTGTCTGGCATTTGCAAGAGGGTTTCTGGGGATTTGGGGTCTGGGTTTGACTGCTACTCTTATCCGAGGCACCGTCTGGAGGGCTCACTGCCGATGATCTGATGGAGACTCTGAAGGCACCAAAATGACAGTGCACGTTCGTTTCTGTGTGTGTCTGCATGTGTCTAATAATTAATCTGCCCTGCAGACGCTGGACCGGCAGAGGGGCCCTCTGTCCTTGCTCTGCACAGACCGCGTCCTGGCTCTGCAGACGGAGCTGCTTCGCTACGACGTCTGGCAAGATGGGCGGGGGTGGCTTCACTCTGCCAACGCGAGCCGCAGGTCTGTGCTGAGCTCTAGGATGAGAGGCGAACTGGAGAGATATCTGGCTGCCTCTGGGTCGCTGAAGCTCTGGGGCCACATCTGCTACCTGTCCGTTCTGGTGACACTGAACGAGGTGCATCTGTCATCAATTAACCATAGCTGTTCTGGAACAACCCATTCTGGACAGGTTCTGTACAGGATTGTCTGTGATGAGATCACGGATGAGGATGTGGCCCGTGTGAATGGGAATGTGGCGTTTGTCTGGGACTCGCAGCTCGGCTAATTAGTTCTGCAGTCTTCATCTGCCGGCATTCCGCTTTGATCTGAGTCAGGACACCTTCATGGCCAAGAAGGTGGATCTGGCGAGGGTTTCTGAGGACTGTGGGGACTGGGCTGTCTGGTTCCAGAGCTGCAACTTAGTTGCACCCAGGCCTTTGTTTTTTGTGTCTGGGGGGGGCGGGTGGCTTGCATCTGCATACCGAGATCTGTCGGACTGCAAGAACCACCAGCTCTATATCCGTGATCTGGCATTCTTCTATGCCACCCAGGGCTCTGGTGGAGCCGCATCTGGGCCCAACTCTGGACAGATCTGGGAGAAGATCTGCAAGAAGGCCTTCCCATCGTCTGCTTAATTAATTAAACCCTGAGCCCCTAACCCTGAAACCCTAAACCCTGAAACCCTGGAGCCCTAAACCCTTGCAGGTCTACTTCCCGTCTGACTACATGCGCCCGTTGCTTGGCCTAGAAGGGTTTAGGTTTTTGGGTCTGGGGTTTAGGGGTTAATGAGGGGTTTGGGCCTCTGCTCTGGGATTCCTACCTAGGCTCTGGCCGAATCTGGTGCCCAGCTCTGGACTTCGCATGCCAGGTGCCTGAAGGTGGGGTTTGGGGTTGGGGGTGGGGGTTGGTGGTTCGGGCTTCTGCTCCTGCTGGCAGGAGCTTCTGATGCAGCAGATTCTGTGGCTTTGGCTGGTGTATCCGGTCATCTGGCCGAGGCCAGATCTGAATCGCCCTCTGGTGCACACCAACCCCAGTCTAATTAGGGTTCTGGAAGCCCAGGATCTGCTGCAGATCTGGAAGGATCTGGATCTATCTGTACAAGGAGGGGTTAGGGTTTGGGGTTCAGGGTTTCAGGGTTTGGGATTTAGGGTTCAGGGTTTGGGGTTAAGGGTTTCAGAGTCTGGGGTTAAGGGTTTCAGAGTCTGGGGTTCAAGGTTTCAGGGTTTGGGGTTAAGGGTTTCAGAGTTTGGGGTTTAGGGTTCAGGGTTTGGGGTTAAGGGTTTCAGAGTTTGGGGTTAAGGGTTTCAGGGTTTGGGGTTAAGGGTTTCAGGGGTTACGGGTTTCAGAGTTTGGGGTTTTGTGTAATTAAGGTTTCAGGGTTTGGGGTTAAGGGTTTCAGGGTTTGGGGTTAAGGGCTTGGAGTTATATAATTCATTATTTAAGGGCTTGGGGTGAAGGGTTTAACTACATAATATAGCAATATTTATTAATAATTAGTATTAATAACTCTAAGAATAACAACGAGAACAAGGATAATAAGAACAATAAATCAGTATTATGTAATAAGTAATTAATTAATTAATAAAGCTAGCAACAACAATAAGGATAGCAACAACAATAAGAAATAAAAGCCTAATTATACATAATTAGTACTTGGAAACCACCACCGCCACCACCACCGCCACCGCCACCACCACCACCACCACCACCACACCACCACCACCACCCCCCCCACCACCACCACCACCTCCACCACCACCACCACCACCACCACCACCACCACCACCACCACCACCACCACCACCACCACCACCACCACCACCACCACCACCCCACCACCACCACCCCACCACCACCCCCACCACCCACCACCCCACCACCACCACCACCACCACCACCGCCACCACCGCCACCACCACCACCACCACCACCACCACCACCACCACCACCACCACCACCACCACCACCACCACCACCACCACCACCACCACCACCACCACCACCACTTATTAATTAATTAATTGGCTCTGTGCAGGAGCCGATCTGAGCAAACGTGGAGTCTGGCGCCAGAGCTCTGGAGCTTTTCTGGTTTCCAACCACCCCGAACAAAGCTCAAAACCCTAACCCCCGAACCCCGTAATTAATTAATTAACCCCAGAAAACCCTTGTACCCTAAACCCTAGTCCCTCTAAAACCCTAAACCCTTTAAACCTTTAACTCTGACTTAGGCTTTAATCACATAGGGCACGTTTATAAAGGTCCTAGGGTTGGAAATATGTAATTAATAAAATAATTAGGGGTTCTGTTGTTTCTGTAATTAAGCTCTGGAAGCTCTGGCCGTGGGCTCTGTTTTTTTGCAGACGCACCGTGACCTCTGTCGCAGAGGAAGGAAAAAATCTGGACGCACTGTGTCTGTCTTGGTTTCTCTCTTTCTAGAAGCAGCCCCTGTCTGATTGCAACATGTAAGTACTTGAGTAACTTCTGCTCAAGCTCTCTGGTCGCTTCTCTTCGGCAAGATGGGCAAGTCTGGGGTGCTCAAGAAGCCGTCTGCCTCCGCTGTGGTCAAGAAGCCGTCTCTGAAGCAAGACCCCAACGACGATCTGGCACCTGCCGTGCCTGAGCCGCTGCAGCGACTGAAAGCTCTGTCTGAAGCCTCTGAGGAGACTGTGCCTCCGTCCGAGGAGGCATCTCTGTATGCACCGGATTGTTTCCTGCATCTCTGGGATACTCTGAGTTCTGAACAGAAGGAGTATCTTCGCAAAGCCTCTGAGGTTTTGAAGGCTCTGAAGTGAGCCGCAGAACAGATCTCGCAGGAGGTTTTGAAAAAGAGTCTGACCTCGCATTGCACACGTTCTGGAAGTGTTGTTGCTCTGCAAGCACCGGTTGCAGCCGAGCTTCTTGTTCTCTCTGATTCCCGATTGGATCGAGCTCTGTGTCAGTTCTGTAGGTCCTCTGAACACTGACATGGTGTCCTCTGCGGTGGTCTCTGCCTACGTGGCGGTCTGTGCTCTGGGCAAAGCCTTTCTGCGAAAGCAGCCGGAGATTCTGACCTTGCTTGGTCTGTTCCTCGGCTTGGATCGAGCGGATCTGTTCTTCTGCTTGGCATCTGGTGAGCAGATCAGCCTCATCTGGAACGGTGCCGTCAGTCTGCGCTGGACTCTGAATGGCTGGCTGGTGAGGCGACGGGATCTGTCTGTTGGAGATCATCTCTGGCTTTGCTGGAAGAACCCTCCACAAGGACACGCTCTGACTGAGCGAGATCTGGGGGATCTAGGGTTCTCTGAGGAGGAAACCTCTGATCCCAACGGCGAATCTGCTGCCGAAGCCTCTGGCGAAGGTGCCGAGGTCTGGGAGATTCTGAATCTGTCGCCTGCTCCCAGGTCTTCCCGAGATCTGGAGTGATGATCTGCTTCGCAGTGAAGAGTGAAAACATTCCGAGCATCTGTTCTGCAAGGTTCTGCTTTGCCTGCATTGTCTGAGAAGAGCCTAGGAAGAAGCTTTCTGATTGTCCATGCATCTGCAGGCATGCCATTTTGGCTTTGCTAGTAGATCTGCCCAGCAATGTCTGTGGCGATCTCCTCTGATGAGGAAGATGGCGGCGGTGGTGTGGCCGCTTCTTCTGCTGCTCTGGTGTCCAGCGAGGACGTGTCTGAGCAGCTTGTGGCAGCTTCTGAAGGAAGCTTGTCGGAGCAAGCTCTGGCGACTGCAGAGAGTTCTACCTCACAGCCTTCTTCAGGCGAGCTGCTTCTGTCATTCCATGTTGCTTCTGGCAAAGACTGATTATTTAATTCGTTCTGAAATTTAGCTGCTACAGTTCCTGGAATCCGGAGTCCCTGGCTTCTTGCCAAAGCCAGCAGCTCTCGAATACCAAAGCCTGTGGCTTCTTGTCCAAAGCCACTGGCTTCATAGCTTTCCCAAAAGCAAGGCTTCCCATCGGGAGCCCCTCCCCCGGATGAGTTTATTATTGCCACCCCTTTTATAATTGCCAAAAGAAGGGCTGCAAAGAGTTACCCTTGCCGGCTTTGTGAAATGGCTCCGTTTATATAGAATTGGAATAAGGAACCGACCTCAAGTTTAGCTGCTGCAGTTCCTGGAATTGGGAGTCCCTGGCTTCTTACCAAAGCCAGCAGCTCTCGAATACCAAAGCCTGTGGCTTCTTGTCCAAAGCCACTGGCTTCATAGCTTTCCCAAAAGCAAGGCTTCCCATCGGGAGCCCCTCCCCCGGATGAGTTTATTATTGCCACCCCTTTTATAATTGCCAAAAGAAGGGCTGCAAAGGGTTACCCTTGCCGGCTTTGTGAAATGGCTCCGTTTATATAGAATTGGAGTAAGGAACCGACCTCAAGTTTAGCTGCTGCAGTTCCTGGAATCCGGAGTCCCTGGCTTCTTACCAAAGCCAGCAGCTCTCGAATACCAAAGCCTCTGGCTTCTTGTCCAAAGCCACTGGCTTCATAGCTTTCCCAAAAGCAAGGCTTCCCATCGGGAGCCCCTCCCCCTGATGAGTTTATTATTGCCACCCCTTTTATAATTGCCAAAAGAAGGGCTGCAAAGGGTTACCCTTGCCGGCTTTGTGAAATGGCTCCGTTTATATAGAATTGGAATAAGGAACCGACCTCAAGTTTAGCTGCTGCAGTTCCTGGAATCCGGAGTCCCTGGCTTCTTACCAAAGCCAGCAGCTCTCGAGTACCAAAGCCTCTGGCTTCTTGTCCAAAGCCACTGGCTTCATAGCTTTCCCAAAAGCAAGGCTTGACATCGGGAGCCCCTCCCCCGGATGAGTTTATTATTGCCACCCCTTTTATAATTGCCAAAAGAAGGGCTGCAAAGGGTTACCCTTGCCGGCTTTGTGAAATGGCTCCGTTTATATAGACTTGGAATAAGGAACCGGCCTCAAGTTTAGCTGCTGCAGTTCCTGGAATCCGGAATCCCTGGCTTCTTGCCAAAGCCTGCAGCTCTCGAATACCACAGCCTCTGTCTTTTTACTAGCATCAAGTCTTTGCCAGTTGACATAATTATAGATATGTCCTGATCTGTTTTCATGCAAGTAACAAGCGGTCTTGTTTCTTTAGTCAACCGCAGCAGGTTCTGGAAAGCAGAAGAGACTGCTGCACTTCTGGAAGCCCGAGCACCCTCTAGCAGAGAAGCCTCCTCTGGAGAAGGAAGCTCAGCCCAAGGGCAGGCCACTGTCCGCTGCCATGAAGCAAATTCTGGCAGAAGTGGCTCGAGAGTCTGTTGTAGAACAGACTGGCGAAGAAGCTCGTCTGGAACTTCAGCGACGCTACGCGAACAAGAAGAACGCTGGTAGGCCAAAGAAGCTTCCTGGAGCTCCTTCGAAGAAGCGCTCTGCAGAGATGCCTCTGGCAGTGCAAGCCGGTGTTCTGAAGCGGATGAAGACAGAAGTGTCTGGTTTTGCTTCTGACAACGACTTCACTGGAGCCATGAGCCAGCAACTGGGTTTGGACAAGAAGTCTGTGAGGAAGCTCTGGGCCAGAAGAGACAAGGTTCTGAAGGAGCAGTCTGAGCGGAACTTTGCTCGGAACCCTGAGAAGAACCGCAGTGGCCGCTCTGGAAAGGGCCGTCAGAAGGCTACTCACCGCAGGGCTGGCAGAGGCCTGCGTCTGAGCGGAGCTGGCCGCAAGCCTGAGTTTGCTTCTGTGAAGAAGGCTCTGCGAAGCTGGTTCGAGGAGTCTCGTGCCCACGGCCACTCTGTCAAGAAGCGGCATCTGCTGTCGCAGTGGCAGTTTCTTCTGACAAGAGAACTTCTGAGGCTCAGATCCACGAAGGAGGCCTCTGCAGACGCCTTCGAAAGGGCAGGTCTGGACCAGAAGATCTGCGAAGGCGAGAAGCAGCTGCAAAGTGCTGCGAAGGATTCTGGCAAGAACCGTCTGAGGCAGCTTCTGCTGGACGTCGATGCCAAGAATCTGCAGCCGGATCTGAAGACGAAGCTGTCTGAGTCTGAGGAACAGGTCTCCGCGAAGCTGACGTACCAGGCTCTGGACCGCACTCTGTGGACAGCCTGCTTCTCACCTCTGGAGGAGCTGGGCAACAGGGTTGCCAAGCCCTCTGAGTTCAGAGACCACGTCTCTGATCTGGTCGTGATCTGCTCCGACCAAATCCCTTTGTGGATAAAGTCTGGCAGCGAGCGGGAACTCTTTGCTGACTGGGAGCACAACCCTCTGCCCCAGCAGCATCTGCGAGAGAGTCTGAAGAACCATCATCTGTCCAGTTCTGACCAGGTGACAGGCTCTGGCGATCTGGTTCCACCTCTGCTGCAGGCTGTGAAGCCGTCTGCGGCAGCTGGTCGAGGCTCTGGTCAGAGGCAGAAGAAGGCCTTTCTGGACGTGGACGCTCTGAGGTACCGTGTGACCTACGAGGCGAAGCAGGCTCTGTACGGCCTCTGCAAAGACCCCTCTGCACTCACTGGCACCGTTCTGCCCGGTCTTCTGGTGGTGCACGGCTCTCACGCTCGTCTGAACAACATCGACAGGTGTGGTCGATTTCTGAGAGACGAGACGTTTGAGTTCTCTGGCAAGGTGGTCTGCCGCAAAGCTGGAGCCTCTGCAGGGAATCTGCTGAAAGGCTGGCGGCAAGCTCGCGACAAGGATCCCTCTCTGTTCCGGCAGATCTCTCTGATGAGCCAGCCCTCTGCGAACGTTGATGGCATCATCTTCGCCTGGGCTCAGGAGGAGCTGGCAGCTCTGGCACCTGCCTCTGTCCACGTCCGCGACTGCTTCGCTGCGGCCTGGTCTGTGTCTGGGGCAGAGTCTCTGTTCTACTCGCAGAGTCTGCAGACGGTCATTGGACCGAAGCTGACTGCAAGTCTGCAACTGACTGACACAGACTATGCCAGATCTTTCAAGAGTCTGGCAAGGTCTGCCATGGACGACCTGAGGCTGGAAGTGCCATTATTCCTGCTCTGCTTCCCTTGCCAGATGTTTTCTTTCCACTCTCCTAAACCCTAATCATGTTTTGGACTTTCCTCCCGTGCCTGCAGGCATGCCGGTCAGACTGCTCTGCTGGCAGCTGGCGAGAAGGAGTTCTGGAGAGCGAGCCATCTGGACATGGCCAGGGCTGTGGTGCAGGCTCAGACCAAGATGTCTGAGCGACAAGCCGAGAAGGACTGGATCGTCTCTGGCCTTCGCCGCAACGGTCTGCTTGCCTACAGACCCGACTTCTCCAAGCAGGCTCTGGTTCCTCTGACAGACGAAGACTGCTGTGGCGCCTCCATGGGCCGCTCTGCTCTCCTTTCCGTGTTTAGCTTCAAGTGAATCTTTGTTTGTTCTCTCATTGTTGCCAGCCGAGGTTCTGCGAGGACGAAGCCAGCCTGGTTGCAGGACCGCTACTCCTGGAGGGATTCATCTGGCATTCCAGTGAAGCCAGACTGGTCTGCTCTGCACGGCGCCAAGGTCGTCGCGGATCTGGTGGAGTGGAGCTACCACCACTCTGAGTCACAGGACGAGGCTCTGGAAAGCCAGGTCTCCGAGGCTCTGCTGAACGTGCACGAGATGCCACTGGACCTGCAGCTCCCCTGCATCGAGTCTGGCGTCCTCACGCTTTCTCTGGACCTGCAACGGGCAGCCTGGCACAAGCAGCTCTCTTCGGACTCTGAGCTTCTGCAGAAGAAAGCTGTGAAGCGAGACGTGAAGCAGATGATCGCTCTGGCCAAGCGGAAGCTTCGAGGAAAGCTTCTGGAAGCCATGAGGCATCGTCTGACACAGATGTCCCGACAGCAAGCTTTGCAACGTCTGGTGCCGAGAGCTTCTGACAAGAAAGGCTCTGTGACGAAGAAGGCCGCTTTGAAGCAGAAGAAAAAGACGGCCCTGGGCCACGCTGCCAAGGCTCTGGCGAAGGCCAAGGCTCTGGACGAGAAGCCCTCCGGCGACTCTGCTTTGGTGCCTGGCCCTGCTCTTGCTGACCCCGTCTCTGAGAAGGCCTCTGAGCTGAAGGAGGCCACGAAGGGCCCTCTCTACGGCCGAGTCTGCAGGATTCTGCGAGAGGACCACACCTGTGGCAAGTCTGGCAAGTGCACGCTGCACAACCTTTTGACGAACAAGTTGTCTCTGGTTGGCCGCTAAATCGCACTTATCTGTCTGCAGTATTTAATTAATACAAAGATGTTCTTTGCTGTCTGCTGAGGTGTTGGAGATGCCTGTGCCACCGTGATCGTCTCTGACCAGGAGGTCTGCGAGGTTGATCCACTGTGGAAGACTCCGAAGAAGTGGAAGAATCTGCGCCTGAAGAGGGATCTGAAGCAGACTGTTCTGCGAGCTTGCGGTGGCTCAGCCCTCTTTTTGGAGGCTTCTGGTGGGTTCTTCGCTGCGGAGCCTCTGGAGTTGCTCAAGTTCAAGAAGTCTTACCCGCAGATGCTTCTGGACCAGCATCTTCGGTACGGCTGGGAACTTCTGCGGTACAATCTGAGCGACTCCGACGAGAACTGGTTCCTGGACAACAAGATCTGCATGGTGGACCCGAAGCTCTCTGGGCAGCTCCTCGCCGAAGACCACGACCGCCCCGAGCTTCTGCAGACTGCTCTGGACAGACTTCGTTCTGAGAACAAGCTGCTGTTCGTGCCTGTCTGGGGGCACTGTCCGAACCACTGGACCCTTCTGGTCCTGCAGCGAGAAGACCTCTCGGAGAACTTCTCTGTGAAGTACCTGGACAGCCTCTCTGAGAAGCACGAGGAGTGCTCTGTGAACGCTGCCAGGCTTCTGTCTCTGCTTCTGCCGGCAGAGACTCTGCCAGAGAGAAGCTCCTCTGGCACCCAGAAGTCTGACGAGTGCGGCTTCTGGGTTCTGGCCAACATGCTCTGGATCCTGTCCCCTCTCTGTCTGGAAGGACCCTGTGCTCGTGGCTCTCGCCACAAGCTGGTTCTGGAGCTCATGTCTGAGCTGAAGGCCTGGCTCATCCAGCTGTCTGGAGAGCAGGCCAAGCTCTCAAAAGAGCTTCTGGACAAGGAGAAGTCTCTGGACAAGCTTCTGAAGAGCAACCGCCTGCGCTCTGAAAAACTGGCAGCAAAGTCTGCAGAGGCCTCTGCCACAGGCCTGAAGCTCTGGAATCTGGCCAAGCAGCTCCTCACTCTGAACAAGGAGCCTGACGCCAGTGATCTGTCTGAAGAGGACAAATCTCGCATCGAGCACGTCCGTCTGACAGGCCTGGGCGTCTGTTCCAGATGCCACTGGCAAAGTGGATGTTTGGACTGTGATCCTGCGAAGCTGGAGCGGTATCTGCTGAACAAACTGCGTCTGGAGCTGGGTCTGCCACCAAAGGCAGCCTGAATTCTTCTGTTTCACAGCTCTCTGGATGCCATTGGATCTGCCGAGGGGTGGAGTGAAACAGTCTGGAACTGCACTCTGCGAGCTAGTAGTTCAGTGTCGTCTGTGCCGATCTGCACTCTGCTGGCTGGTTTTCCTCTGAGTTTGAGCATTTGCCAATTGATTATTACCTCAACCTGGATCCTATTTTTTTTGGTGATTTGGGGCCCTGAATATTTTAATTGTCACCCCTTTTACAAATGTAACCTCCCATCTATGATAAGTTGTTTGGGGCATTTGGGCTCCGCCCTTTAAACTCCTCTTCCGCCCGGAAATTCCGGCCCCGGGAATATTTTAATTGTCACCCGATTTATAAACACCACTCCAACATTACCCCATCAAGAAACCCTTACATGTCAGGGCACATACCTAACCCAAAGGGTTCAAAGTACCGTTATGGGGGGATCCTTCCCAAAACCAGAATAGTAATTCCTAGCGTCGAAGCCGGACATTCTACTATAAAGGTACTTTGGACCCTTTGGCCCGAAGGATCCAAAGTACCTTTACAGTAGAATGTCGGACTTCGTCCTTTGGGTAAAGGTATTGCTCCTAGAGTCTCTGGGTTAAACAACTGCAATCTCAGTCCCAACACAAGCAACCAAATAATGTAGGAACCTGATTCGGAAACCTTGGGCCTTTCTTAGGGTTCCGTTGAAGGGGTCTATAGAGGTTACTATAAGGGATCTATAAGGGTACTTTGATATTGTAGGGTACCTGATTAAGAAACCTTGGGCCTTTGTTCAGGCTCCTGATATGAACTCTACTATTCTGGGGTTAAAGGGTCAGGGTTTCTTAATCAGGCTCCTACATTACATCCCAGCGAGTCCTGTAACTCAATATGCCAAAAGCTCTGCACCCCCTGCGACGCAGTCCCAAACTCTACAGTCCCCCGAAGCTCTTAAATCCTGTACCACGCAAGCCCTCTATGTCAGGCGGGTTTAGGGTTTAGGGTCATGCCTGTATCAAACCACACAAAACCGAAAGGTGGAACCCTTGCGAACCTTGCGAAGTCCGACCATCCCAGGAACCTTAAGCCGCAGGCCTTTCGAGCGCGAACTTCGACGCCCTAGCACGTCGGGCCGCACTCGCGATCTCCTCGGTTCAGGGCTGAAAGATCCTGCGGTATAGGTATAGGAGTTTAGAGCTTCGGGGCTTAGAGTTCGGGGTTTAGGATTCAAGGGTGTAAAGTTTAGGGTTTTGGGTTCGTAGGGGCTTCGGGTTAAGGGCTTAGGATTTCAGGGTTTAAGGTTCAGGGTCTAAGGGCTTGCGGTTTGGGGAGGCTTGGGGCCTTTTCTTCTGAAACTCCTCGAGGAGCATAGTGAGCTTACTTATTACTTAGCTTAGTATACCTACTTGTCCGGTATCATGGGGAACTAAAGGTTAACCTTGTTGGGCTATATAGGGATCATATAGGGACGAAACTACCCCCAAAAAAGGTTCAAGGTTCCCTACTCCACTACTAGGTATATGTCGAGCTTGTCCTAGATATCACGGACTCAGCAGACTCTTCGAGTCGGAAAATGGACTTCGTTGCTGAGTTCATCAGCCCAAAAGTACACTTTCAACTCTAAGATGTCAAGTCCCCAAAAGTGTACAGTGTACTCACTGATGTAGGAACCTGATTAAGAAACCTAGGGCCTTTATATTTGGGTTCCTTATATGAATCCTACTATTTTGGGGCTATAGGCCCAGGACTTCTTGATCCTACATTAGCTACTACCAATGGAGCCGAACCAAGTCCCAAACCTGAAGCTGTTACTGTATTTATTGCCCCGTTGTCAACAGCTCCCTCAAACCTCACAAGCCCTGCCAGAAACCCTGTGAAACGCGCACAATATCTGCACTAATATCCAAGACAAAAAGCACTTAAAATGCTGACCTTGCAGAACTTTAGCTCTATAACTTTGACGGCAAAAAACCCAAACCCCAAAACACCCTTAAATGCCCGGCTGCCTGGGAGAAGCTGGTTTGCACCTTCGTGGACCTTGCTGTTTCGGGTTTATGCCGGCTTAGGGTTTAACCCAGTTGTGGGGTATCATGGGGAACTAAAGGTTAACCTTTTTGGCTATATAGGGATCATATAGGGGCTATACTACCCAAAAAAGGTTAAAGGTTCCCTACTCTAGCACTAGGTTGAGGTTCAGAGGGATTACGGCTCAGGGTCTGTAACTGTGCGTGCCTTGCTGGAGTGTTCAAGTGTAGGTTCTACTTTCATTTTAAGAGCATTAAAAGCCCGAAAAGTTTGGAAGACAAAAACGTTGCAACGGAGACTATAGGTAAGGCGTAGGATTCAGTGGGACACACTGCCTTGAGATTTACTTGCTAATTAAGGGCGCCATATATTGGATACCCATAATACCCCTTATTGACCCCTTTACGGGAACCCGACTTGATTTCCGGAAGTGAGATCCATCCGGAGATACTGCCAGCTGAAACCCGAATCATTATTGGGCTCTACCTATTATAGTCTCCATTGTAGTTCCTTTTTTGGGTTAACCAAAAACTCTATTATAGGATCTTAACCACAAAACTGGCTAACCAAAAGAAGGAACTACAATGGGGACTTGTGGTAAGTATAAACCCAGAGGCTCGAAACTAAAGCATCGAAGCCTCGAACTAGATACCCTGAGCCTGGACCCTTGCAGCCATGAGGGTGTAGGGTTTAGGGTTTGGGGTTGAGGATTTAGGGAACCATCGGGGTGTAGGTTGAGAGGGCTTGGGGATGAGGGTTTAGGGTCTAGGATTTTGGGCATTTGAACTCATGAAGCTGCGTGAGGGCGGCTCGCCCACATCCTCGTCGCTTTCCCCACCGTCGTACTCGTTCTCGGACACGTGGCCCTTCTCATCTTCGACCTCGGAAGCACAAGAAGTCCGACGGAACATCTAGCGTAATCAGCCGAATAATGGTTCGGGAGCTTCAGGGGGCATAATATAGGGGCCTTAACAACTAGAATAGGGTTTGGGGTCCACTATACTATAAACATAGAAAAGAACTGCCAGAATAGTATTGGGAATTAATATAAGGCCCTGTAGTAAGTATTCTACGAACTACGAAGATAATCAAGGACACCCTAAGTACTAAGGACTGGTTCTGCAGTCTGTTACGTGATAGGCCGTGGAGCTCACCAAGGAAGCAGTCCCCTACCCCCCCCCCCCTACCACCCCCAGTCCCAAGGAAGAGAGCAACGGGGCGTGAGCATCTGTGTCCCAAAAAGCACGATGCTTCAGGTCTCCAGCTACTTGGACCTTTTGCAAAAACCTGGTATTGGCTAATGCAGGAGCCTGATTAAGAAACCTTGGGCTTTTATTCGGGCTCCGTATATGAATCCTCATATGTTGGGGGTTATACGGGCAGGGTTTCTTAATCAGGTTCCTACAATATTATATTATAGTACCCTTATAGATACATTATAGTAACCCTTACAGACTCCTTTAAAGGAGCCCTAACAGAGGCCCAGGGTTTCTTGATCAGGTTCCTACATTACGCCTCGCCCCCTACGTTAACTCTGGGCCTCCCCAGGCTCGATCCTGGTTTCCGAAAATGGGGGATCCTAGTACAGCACCCTGAAGAGTAGGATCCTTATTATAAGGACCCCAAAATAAGGTACCCCTAATTTTCGGAAACTCCCATTTCTTACTGCATCAAGCACCTTCCTTACTTTATCAAAATCAAGCGTCCGCTACACCGTAATGCGCCCATAGGCACCAACGGCACTGCACAAAAACTCAACCCTCTATTACAAACCCTAGCCCCAAACGCTGAGACCCAGCCATAAAGCCCAAAGCCCAGCATATCGAAATACCTCAGCCCCCAAACACCCCAAAAGCCGTGCAAAAACTTTCAGACCCGTGCTGAAACCGTGTAAGGACCTCATACACACGCCCTACAAGCCTCTGAACTTAACCCTGGACCCACACAGCCCCCACCGCTCAGACAGAAATACAACAATCCTGGATGAAACCACAAACCCCATGCCCGCATATCTGAAAAAGCTGCACAAATAAACTGCAAAAACACCCAGACCCCGGAACACAACCCTATACCCTATACGTTAAGACCCTAAACCCTATACTAGAAGCCCATAAACAACAAGAGCAAACTATCAAAGCAATCTCCCTCAAATCCTACATCCCTATAAACCCTATACATTAAACCACAAGAAACAGCAGCGAACCACTTGAGAAAACTCACAAAAAAAGTACATGGCAGGAGTCGGAGCTGGGAATCCATAGGCCGAAGTTCGCCTGGTGAGAGCTCAGCCGCCGATTTGTGTTTTTTGCCGTGCGTTTGTTGGGTTGGGGTTTGTTGATTTAGGGCTCGGGGTTTAGGGTTTAGGGCGCTGGTTAGGGATTCTGGTTTTGTGTGTGTGTGTGTGTGTGTGTGTGTGTTTGTGTGCGTGCGTTTTGTTCTTTTAGAGTTCGCGGTTTAAGGTTTTGGGTTCAGGATTGGGGTTAAGGGCTTGGGGTTTAGTGCTTAGGGGTTAGGATTTCAGGGTTTGGGATTTTAAGGTTTGGGGTTTAGGGTGTGTTTAGGGTTAAGGATGCAGGCGTGTGCACGGGTGCAGGGCTTTCAGGTTGGGGGCTTGGGTTTAAGGTTACAGTTTACAGTACCTACTTGTCGGGTATCATGGGGAACTAAAGGTTAACCTTTGTGGTTATATAGGGATTATATAGTGACTATACAACCAAAAACGGTTCAAGGTTCCCTACTCTACTACGAGGAGAAAGGGTTGAGGGTTTACGGGGGCTTTAGGTGTTGTGTTAAGAGGTATTGCACGACCTTAACCCCGTATAACCGACCTTTCTTAATTCCAGGACGTATAAACGGAAATAGCAATACGGACACCTGGGAAGGGAGGTTCTTTGGGGTTAAGTTTGAGCTTATTGCGCAAAGGTTTGAGGCAGCTGAGTCCAGCGAGTTTCGACCGAAAGGGTAATAATGAAAACAAAGAGGTTAATAACCCTAACGAAGAAGATGCGAGAAAAAACTGAAAATCAAGGACAACTGAGCGCAGAGCGATAAATATGGGCTAGGACTGGGACCTGGCCTGTCTATCCTAGCCATTAGCACAAAAAAATTCCCGCCGGCACAGTCTCGTCAACTAGCAGATTTTGGAAGCCCAAGCCCGACTCCAATAGCCTCGAAAACGATGACCAGGTCAACCACATCAGGTCAAGTCTTCGTAAGTATTCCAAGAAGTACAGACCAAAAACCCAAACCCTTTTAAATGCTAAAACCTGATATGAAGAATATAGAAATGAGTCCTTTTGTTAAAGCCCCAAACCCAAACCCAACCAAGCTCCAAACCAAAAACCCTTCTAAATACTGAACCCGGATACCAGTATGAAGAGTATAGCAATGAGTCCTTTTGTTGAAGCCCCAACCCAAACTCTTCTAAACCCTACACGACCCTAACATGAAGAATATGGGTAGTTTTCCCGATTAGCGTCCCTATTTTGAGTCCTTCTTATACTACGGCACCTAATATTTATGGGGTACCCAAAAAAGCACTATAATTTTTACAACCACCCATAGAGAAGATAAGTTTTTCTGTGCTTTGGGACTCCCTGGACCTCGAGCTCGAAGAAGTTCAGCTCCGTTAGGACAAAGAGGGACAGGCGATCGCCTGCAGACAAAATTCGATCAAGTTTTTGGGGTGTACTATATACTTGGAGGGTCGGGGGACTTAGTAACTGGTTATTTTAGGGACTTATAAGTATCATAACCCCATTTAGGATCCCTTTAGGGTACTTATAAGTCTACTTACTAACTACTTACTAAGTCCCCTGACCCCCCAAGTACTAGTTTGCGGGTTCCTTCAAAGGGCCCTATAAGGGCTACTATACGGGCCTGTATAAGGGTTTAGTATAGGGTACTATATGGGTGGTTGCCAAAATCATGGTCTCTTTTTGAATCCCGAAGATAATACGGCACCTAATATTTAGTGTACCCAAAACGGGACCATAATTTTGACAACTACCCATATTTCGATCAGTAAGGAAGGGGGGCTTAGGGGTTTTGAGGCTGTATCCTGCGACGCTTAATTAACTGTTTCCCCTGTTCATACGTGGCTTCATAGTGTCTCTCTGTGTGTGTGCTGAGATTGAGAGATACGATGGTTCCGCTGGAAACCGCGATAAAAGACAGCTTGAAACCCACTGAAGACCAAAAATGGCTACAATAAGCAGATGGCAGAAAGTGCTCGTTCCGATCTGGGCAGACTCTCCGAAGAAAAACGCAAAAGACCCCCTTCTCAAAATCCTTCACAATCCCTCCAAGGCATTCTCACGAACTCCTGGAAGCTCTTGACAGAATGCTCTCCCGTGTGTTGCCCACCCGAAGCTCTAACCCTAAAGCCTACGCACTCCCTAATCCCTAAACAAAACCCTTTTAACCCTAATGCCTATAAACCCTAAACGGCCCTGAACCTGCACCGTGACCTTCGTCTGTTTCGCGGTAGGCCCAAGTGGTCCGTGCGATTCGCGAGGCTGTCTTCGATTTCGCTGCTTTGTCCACCTCAGCCCAGTTTTACAGCGCAAGGCTGAACCCAAAAGCATATGCATGTGTATATGTGTGTATATGCATATATGTATAAAATACAGGTGTATATGTTTACACATGTGCTATATATAATACACATACATACTAACTATCTATTTACCTGCGAGTTTGTATGCATGCGTCTGTGCCATGCATGTGTATGCACAGCTCCATCGAAACTTCAGCGACATTGATACAGCTACGACAAGGTCCCACCAAAGCTGGCTGGATCAGTAGGGAGTAAGGGAATCTACACCAACCTTCATTGCTGTAGGGTTTGGGGTAGGGCCTAGGCCTAAGCCATGCAGTAAACCCTAGCTGCTCCGGTCCATTGATCTTCCCGGGACGCGGCAACTCCGGCCGTTGACATGACAGTTTTCCAATAATTAGCTTCGTTTGGGTTCCGGGTTTAGGGTTGGGGCTTCGGGAATCCACATATTCAGAATCCTTCTCTCTCTTAGGATCCCTATGTTCTACAACCCGCACATCGGGTATCCGGGTATCCTTGAAGGAGCCACGATGGAGAAGAGCCACCCAGCTGAGGTGTACAAGGTGGCTTATGGTGTCGCCGTGTGTAACCGTGAGCCCCAACCCTATAAGCTGAATCCATAAACCCTGAACCGGCCCGTAGGGGAAGACTCATAGGACCGGTATAATATCCTCAGAGGGAAACCCTTATAGCAACCCACTCTACAGAGCCTCTGGACCCGAAATCCTACACCCACAATCAAAAGACTCTACTTGCTTCAATATCTGAGATCAGAAACGTCATGATATGGAACCATCGAGAATGAGTTGTTTAGGGTGCAAACATTAAACCCTAACCCCCCAAACACTTAAACCAAATTGCCGGGGCACCCAAATCGTATATACTTTGGTGTTTAAGTAGTCCCTATATAGGTACATTGGGGCCTAATTTGTACAAAATGGGTACATGGACCCTGAGGGTCATGCTCAAAAATTTAAACCGTAATGAAACCCTGAACCCCTAAACCTCAAAACTGAGAACCGACATAGTACCCTCATAAGGACTCTAAACCCCCAAAACCGCTAAACCCCCAGACCCAATTGCCGGGGCCAGGCACCAGCATCTCCTGCTGGATCTTCACGCGCGAAGGGGCGCTTTGGCCACTCAGCGTCATCAGACCTCGTGGAGCCGAGGTCTTCAGGGTTCTTAAAGGCTATGGGACTTAGTAAGTAAGGTTATAAGTAGGTTATAATTAGGATAACCCCACTTAGGGGACTTATAACCCCAATTATAACCTACTTACTAAGTCCCATGATCCTTCAAGTTCCCTGCACGTAGAGTGCCACTCAGGGTTCCTTGAAGTTAAGGGTACCTGTAGGGACTGAACTGGGATGACCTTGAGGTTTCCTTCAAGGTTTCTGTGAGGTTCTAATACTTTTGCCATTGGTAATACTTATATTAATACCATTACTAATACTAATACTAATATTACCTACAATAGTAATAAGTCTATTAATACTATTACTAATACTATAATACTAATATTACTAATATTACTACAAGAGTGACTTCTAGGGTTTAGGTGTCACCGGACGGGGCTCGAGGAATGCAAGAAACGGAGCATTGGTGCTTGGCGTGTGGATCTGAAAGCTTACGGTTCAGCGTGCTTAGCTAAGAGGTGTGGGCTTGTACGGTTGAGGATAAACATCCTGCATTACCCATAATAAGGAATATACCATAATTCCCATAGTTTAGGGTCCTTGAGGTAACGCAGGATTTATATTGTAGTAAGGCTTGCAGCACGGCAATGTACAAAACAAGGGATTGGGGTTTAGAGCCTTCAGAGCTTGGGGGCCAAGGTCCGCTGCAATAGGCTCTTGGGGCCGGGATCAAGGAACCCCAAAAAGTTCGTTTCCAAGCGCGCGGCGCTCTTTGAAATCCCGCTGGGCGTCCACAGAGTGGAAGACGAAGATGTCGAACTTCTCATCTTTAACCTGCTGGCAATGTCGGAACCTGCTTAAGTACAGCCCCCCACCACCCCCGGAATATATGGGAGTTTCCGAAAACAGGCGACCCTAATATAGTGCCCTTAAATAGTAGGATCTTTATCAGAAGGACCCCAAAATAAAGCACCCCTAATTTTCGGAAACCCCTATACCGAAGCCCTAAGTCCTGCTTGCTCACAGATCCCGGAAGAAGGGTTAAGCTTGGCGGAAGCTGGCCCGCAGATATTCAACGTTAAATTGATTGCTGTTAGCTTGAACCCTAAACCTAAACCCTAAATCCCTAAAACTAAACCCCAAACCCTAAAGCGTTTGCGACTCCCGTGATGTCGAGTCGGCAGAACCTAACGCATGGCATTTGCTTCAATCATTTGCTCGACGGAAGTCATGAGTTTTGGGTTAGGGTCTGGGCTTTATGGTTGGAGTTTAGGGATTTGGGTTTTCGGGCGATGTTGCTGGTGGTGTGCAACAGTCTGTCATCGCTTCAGTTGTAACTTCATGTACAACGGGCGCAGCCGAATCATGGCCAGTAGTCCCTCATAAGAAAGTATCCGTAAAGAAACCCAGGTATAACTGAATCTAAAGAACCCTATACCACCAACTAAACCCCATACAACCCGACACCCCCAAGAACTCGACCCTAAAAAACAAAACCTTCCCGATAAACCTTCTTTTGATGCTAACCATTACATGCTAAACCCCTAGCCCTAAACCCCCAAAAAAACCTATAAGCCCAGAAAAACCCTAAGCCCTAAACTCCCTAAGCCTTAACCAATACCTTAGTTGCTGAGTTCATAAGCCCCCCAAAAGTCCACACTTTCAGTTCTACAGTTGCTAATATTATCCCCAAAAATGTAAAGTGTATCCACTTAGCTGCTAAGAATACCCTAACCCTAAACCCTAAACCCGAACCTAAACCCTAAACCAAAAAATGAACATAAGCCCAGAAAAAACCCTAAGCCCTAAACTCCCCTAAGCCTACGCCAATACAGAACCCCGAAGCCTCCCCAAGCTTCGATTTCTCCAGCCGTCCGACCACGAGAAGCTGCGCATCGCTTGCGGAGTAAATTCGCGAGAGCTCCTCCGTGGCTCGAGGGTTTCCCTTGTCTCTTTGGGGGGTATATACATCGGCCGTACAGTCGTCCCTGTACAGGTCCTTTGCGGCCAAAGCCTCTACTATTCCGGTATATGGACCTTTTTTCATGTTTGGTATAGAAAATACCTTAGGTTGTTGTAGGGTATGGGGTTTTGAGTTTCCCTTTCCTCAATGTTCATTGGGATCCTGACCATAAGCTGGTTCACTGGTGCACCAAAAGCAGGGGGCGACAATAGAGGCTATGGGCATAGTTTAGGTTGACCGTCTAGGTTGGCCCTTTAAAGCTTTTGAAAAATATTCGTTAATAAGATACTGTCTCCGGTCCAATGAGAGAAAATGTGAGTTGTCTCAAAGGCCTACCTAGCCCAAACCGTGACCACTCACCCCCAAACCCTAACCTCTAAACTCCTAAAACCTAAACCCAAAGCCCTGAACCCTAAACACAAACCCCCAAACCCTAACCTCACAACTTAGCCCTGAACAAAAAACACTGAACACCGAACGATAACCTCACAACCCCTGAAGCCTAAACCCTGGGCCCTGAACAAAAATGACTGAACCCCAAAACCCGAATCTTTTAAACCTAAACCCAAAGCCCTGAACTAAAAACACTGAACCCCAAATCCTAAGCTTTAAATCCCTAAAGCCTAAACCCAAAGCCCTGAACTAAAAACTGAGCTCTGGGCATTGTGTCCGTAGGATCGGAAGATCTCCTGGGTCGAAACGAGGTTTTGCTTTCAGCTCTACAAGGTTTCTCAGTAACCCCTTAATAAGAAGGGTGCTCTTTTTCGTCATATTCGGTTTTTAGTACGGATAGCACCCCAAAAAGGCAAAAGGATAGTACTGAGGAACCTAGTTTGCATCAAGGGTCCAATTACCTGATAATCATACACTCTCCAAAATCTTAACCTACATAGCTACTATATACCAAAACCGAGTACCAAATTGCTGGGTCGTTTGGACCCCTGGTAAACTACCAGAACCTGCTTTTTGGATGGTGATTATCATAAGCCCTAGAATGGAATATAGGGAAGCTCCAATTTATAGGACCTACCTGGACACCAATGCAACTTTTAAGGGTTCCTTATTGTCACTTCTTGATACAAGCTCTCAAGAACGTAGACCAACTAGGTCCCAGTACCCAAAACCTAGGATGTTTGATTCCCAAGTACACTGCATCGGAATGGTTCATGGTGTGAAAGCCCTTGCATACTATTTGGGTAACCTGAACCCCATACACCTTGAACCAAACAAACCCCAAAACCCGAAACCCTATTGGCCCTAACCCCCCACAAGCCGTAAGCCCTACCTCATATCTGAGAACATATCTCTTGACTCTTGAACCCCCAAACCCTATAAACTCTTCCGTAATCACGAAGAGAAGGACATATACAAGGAAATCATATGAAAGAGCCCAACAAAAAGGTTAGGTTTAAAAGTGTTCAGGTTGACCTTAAAGTCTACTCGTCGGGTATCATGGGGAACTAAAGGTTAACCTGTTGGGTTACATAGGGATTATATAGGGACTATACTACCCAAAAAAGGTCAAAGGTTCCCTACTCTACTACTAAAATGCGCCCCCCCAAAACCCGATCAAAATCATTAAGGCCCCCATATTATGGCCCCCTTAAAGAACCCTTATAGTAAGCCTTTAAGGATGGAGTCGAGGAGCTGGGCCAATTGGGCAGAAGCTCTCCGGCGGGCACAGCCCGCAGGGCCGCTTGGCCTGGAAAGGTCCAGATTCATGGGTAGTTATAGGTGGGGTTATAAGGGTCCTTTAAAGGGATCTGTAGGGATTCAATAAGGGTATAGGGTTTAGGGTTCATGGGTAGTTATAGGTGGGGTTATAAGTAGGGTTACCTTAATTATGACCCATATTAGGGGACTTATAACCCCACTTATAATTACCCATGAACCTCCAAGTAGTTGTCAGATTGAGACCTCTTTGGGTTCCCAGAAATCCCCAGAAACCCTTAATTAAGGAATATACCTCTTAGGGCTCCTTAAAGGGATCTATAAGGGATCTATAGGGTTCTTGGGCTAAGGGATTTTGGGGTTTAGGGTTTCAGGGATTTTGGGCTTTATAGGTTATGTTGGAGGTTTAGGGTCTAGGGCTGTGCAGGGATTTTGAGTAGGTCGTTTCTGCGGTCTCATCGAGTCTTTGTCGTTGAAACAGCTGCTAAGGTATCTTGGCGGTTTCCCCTATTGACATCTTTATTGTTAAAATCATTGTCTTTACTATTGGGAAGTGTTGTTCTCATGATTGAGGAGTTTTTTCGTGGTTACTATTGCTGTTGTCACTGTTGTTATCGCTGTTGCAGTTTGGAATGCAGCGCTTTGGATTTAAGGCTTTGGCTTTTAGGGGTAGGTTCGGGGCGTTGCTACAGCTACCGCCGTTCCAGATTTACTGTCAGCAACCAGCCAGCCCTAAACTCCAGACAGCACCGAAGCCGTAAGTAGTCGACTAGGTTACCCAGTAACCTAAGAATAAAAAGGCCTCTCTTTTTGGTATTGGGTAACTTTATAAGGAACCTAGGACTAGGAAAAGGGAATAAGGGTACTACTGGACATCCTAGTCAACAATAAACAGGAAAATTACTAAGAAAATCAGCAAGGGTACTGACCCGACCCTGACAACCCCAAACGTTGGACCCTGAACCCTGAACATGTGTAGAACCAACCTGGTACGCTTACTAGAACCTCAAACAAATCTTAAACAACCTGTGCAAAATCTTAAAGTCTCACTATAGAATCCATACGTACGTCAAGCTTTACCTGTGACCCCAAACCCGACAATTTGCAAAAAGATGTGCTATGATCCCTTAACCGGAAGGTAGAATCCCAAGTATACCGGTATACCTAAACCCTCAACCCTAACCCTTAAACCCTAATCCTTAAACCCTAAACCCCAATCGTGAACCCCAACACCTGAAACCAAGGCGCCCTTTCACTATTATTATTGAAACTAAGAAACCCCCAAGACAGTATAGGTAATTCTTGAGGTTCCTATATGGGAGTTTCCGAGAATAGGGGACCCCATTATGGCACCCTAAATAGTAGGACCCCAAAATAGGGTACCCCTAATTTTCGGAGGCATCTACTGCCCTGAGGCTTCGGCTGCTCCATGGCGCGACTGCCCCAGGATGAGAAGCCGACGGTTCGTGATCTCAGTGGGCTGCTATATGGGCTTAGGGTTTAGGCAGGTGAAAAATCCGGTACGAATACGTGAGACTACCGCCACGACTCTTGCTTAGGGTTTGGGGTTTAGCGCTAGGGTTTAGGGCTGAGGGTTTCAGGTTTAGGTGCAGGGTTTAGGTTTTGGGCTTAGGGTTTAGGGTTTAAGGCCTGCTATGGGGGGTTTAATGGGCTGCTGTAGGATTTTTTCTGGATTTGTGTTGATGGGATTTGGGGCTTAGAGTCTTTTTTCCTGTTTCAATAGCGGAAGGATCAGTCGGAGTAGGCCCAACCGACTAATTGTAGTAGACAAGCGAATTTTGAGGCATCTCAATACAACTACCGTTATCCCGCGTACTAACTATCAAAAGTGACTCCGGAACCTCGCTCCATCAATATACCGGGCTTCAGAACTAGAACAACGTTCTGAGGGATAGCCTGAACAATGCACTGCGGGCGATGAAAGGATACCGACACTAATGATTCCGACCTCAAAGTTCAACCTTTCTACATTGAAGCCTCTGATAGAGGACCTCAAAGAGCCAGAAACATCAAGCCCAATAAAGAGTTCTGACAGGAACCTTGAATGCACCCTTGCGGAAGAAGGCGTCACAGAACCCTGGAAAGAGCACCATTCTATATACACCCGTGCAGGGAGCATGAAATGAAACCTTCCTTTGAAAGAGAAGCCAACAATCCAGAGACTCCAATATCCCTGAATTCAGGAATATGCCTTAAATCCCATCAGGGATCCTAATAGAAGGTATATTATAATGCTTAATTGAGGGATATTGGAGTCTCTCGGAGTAACAACCTTGACTCGGGCTCCTGGCAGCAAGTAGCCGTGGACCACCTCCACCCTTCCTGCGGCTTCAAGATCTCCGAAGGCTCCGGGGTTTTAGAGCTTACTACAGGGGCCCTCTACTAGTTGGAGTAGAGTTTGGGGTATCTTATAGTGTAATTATAATAAGGAGCCCTAACAATAAGAAGCACCTAACAATAAAATCGGCAACGGCCATTTATCATAAACCCTGAAATTAATCCCAAAGCGCTGCCGTAACACACAAGTAAACCTCTACTAATTATAGCATGAAAAACCATGGACTATCAGTGCTCTGTGAACCCTAAACCCCAACCCTAAAGCCTAAACACCAAACATTTCCCCACTTCCCAGCTCCTTACAAAGCCCAGGGCCACCGCGAAGAAGTGGCCAGTGGCTTCCTCGATTCGGCTCTAACTATAAGGTTCACAGGGTTTAGGATGCACCTGTAGTCCAACGAAAAATTGCAGGGTTTCTTCCTCTGGCTTGTGTATACATTTAACTGCAAGAATGGTGCTCGGGGCTGCAGGTAAGGTTTTAGGTTTTGGGACGAGTAGTTCTAGGCTGTACGGTTTAGGGTTTAGGGCTTGTTACGGCTTGTTGTTCAAATCCAAGAGAAAAGCTAGGATTTGGGCACGTCAGGAATTATACCCAGAAACCTCTTGCAACAGCTATCGCTGTCCATCACCACTTTATATAACCCTCAGTTAGACATTAGACCAAGTGACGAAGTCTTATCGTTACCTAAAAAGCTTTTGCATTCTGGACTCGGTAACTAGACTGTGGCTTTGGGGGATGTATAAAAAACTATCTATATATCTATATATATATATATATATATATACATATCGTCGGGATCTGGAAGGCATACAAACCCAACTGGTCAGATGTTCTTCGTGTGTGGCTTGAGCTCGGAACCTGCAGTGGTGCCGAATGTATTGTTGGATTTACGACTGAGTTGTAAACCATAATCGTCTGTATAACACTTACAGACAAAATCATAACAACACACATCATCAAAACCCTAACAGTATTCCAGACACACGTTCCTGCCAACATCGTACATGTAAGCACATATAACTCAACAACCGCGTTTTGCTGCAGAGGTGGGAGATGATACCGCCTTTCCTTCTCGACACAATTTCCATGAGAGCCGCCTAGTCTATGCCTTTCAGTAGGCCATTAGATCGGGAAATCATGATCACGGTAGTACACAGCATGTGTCGTTCCAGCGCTCTTGCCGGAGTTCGCCCAAGCCCTGGGGCACATGGATACTTCGCCAAAACAGCCGCTTGGCAGCGCACTGCACTAAACCCGAACCTATGAGTGCTGGGGATTGTACTCACAACTCCCGATATCCCTGCAAAAGAAAGATGCCGCAGTATGCCGGTTGGTTCCTTCACTAAGAAGCACAAAAATAGTATAACCCCAAACCCTATTCTAATTATCAAGGCCCCTACACAACAGTACCCTTATAAAACCCTTTTAAGAATCCCGTTTAAACCTCGGCTTGAGGTTGCTTCTCGTTCGACGATAGCCCTCCCAAGTGGCATGCACCTCCATAGATGCAGTGCCAAACCCTAAGGGTCCAAAGGGCCCAGCAAGTAGGTACTTGGGTTTAGGATAGTAGTTACGTAGGTTACTATTTTGGAGAGTATATGATAGTTAGGTACTTGGACCCTTAGGGAAACTGCAAAACTGACACCAGTACCCTGTCATTTATCATCTACTTGAAGGATCATGGGACTTAGTAAGTAGGTTATAATTGGGGTTATAAGTCCCCTAAGTGGGGTTATCCTAACTATAACCGACGTATAACCTTACTTACTAAGTCCCATGAGCCTTTAAGTACCCGTGTATCTGACCATGTTCTGAAGAAACAGCCAAGGAGCATCGGGCATTTCCGCCCACGCCAGCTGTAACACCTATCAAGTCGATGGGGCGAGGTGAGAGGGACAGCGCCAAATCCTAGAGTACCAAACCAAGGAGGTACTCACAGGATGCCCCAACTGTACACGACCCTCATTGCGATAAGCCCTGTTCAACTTTTGCTGTCTTTCCAGCTACTATGCTCTGGGTTGCTGGGGTCCAAGATGTGAGCAAATGTTATCCGAGCTCCTGGTTTAACAGAGCCCCATATCATCCTGCTGCCAGCCCAGGGCTGCATGATTCTACAATAAAGCCTGACCTAAACCCTGCTTGCGGGATTATTGGACCTTGTGAGTACCGTCGCCAACATCCAAAACGTAGGATACACCCAAGCCCTTGGGCCACTGAAAACAATAACTGCTCACAAGCTCACCAGAATCTTCAAACCTAATCTAGCCCTCAACGACTCTACGCCCTACACCCAAAACCCTAAACCCCACAATACCACCACCCGCAGCCCTTGTCTTTTGTGGCCTTAAGCCTTAGGCCAGCCTTAAACCCCTGAAGCCCTAAACCTTAAACCCTAAAGCCCTTAACCTTTATACCCTAAAGCCCTGAACCGTAAACCCTGAAATCCCTGAACCTTTCACCCTAAAGCCGCTAAGCCCTAAGCCCTAAAGCCCTAAACTTTAAACCCTAAAGCCGCTAAGCCCTAGGCCCCAAACCCTAAAGCCCTAAACCTTAAACCCTAAAGACCTAAACCTTAAACCCTGAAGGCCCTAAGCCCTAAACCCCAAACCTCAAAAAAGCCTGGCCTTCTCGTCTGCGTAGGGGCCCTCGTCAGCCAGCAACAGCTCTAAGGCCCGAGTCAGCCGCAGGGTCTCCTCAGTTTGGGGCTTGCATTATGGGTTTTGCCTGGGAATCCGAAACCCTACCGTTTTAAGAGTTCTACCCTCTAATTAAGGGGTCATAACCTACTATTTTGTAGGGGAGGGTTTTGGGGTTCAGGGTTTAGGGTTCAGCTAATCTTCCAAGCCAATTGGGGAGCCCTTTAAAGAAAATCCCTAGGAGGCTCCAACCTGCTCAAAAAATCCTAAGCCATAAGATTCTGAACTCTACACCACAAAATCTTGAAACCAACCCTCAAACCAAAACTCGAATCTAACAGAAACCGAGCCAGAATCAACATCGCGTCTCAGAAAAGCCGCCTGGACTCTACAAAGGAACGCAAAGAGGACATAGGTTGCTTCCGAAGCGGCTACGATGCTCTATTATGTCGAAGGAAGCCAATTAAAAGGCTCCAACTCCAACAAAGCACAAAAGCAAAACATTGGATAGGGATATCACATTTAAACCCCCTTAAAATGAAGCCCAATAAGGTAGGGATATCCCTATAGAATGCTTATGCTTATGTGCTTTTTGGGTCCCCAATCTTGGCAGCCGGGTCGCTGAGCGATCCATAAGGTCGGACACGAAGGAGGTGTGCAACTCAGGGCTTTGAGATGCTAGGATTTCCCTACGGGTCCAAGTACCTAATTAGCATATACTCTCCAAAATAGTAACCTACATAACTACTATCCTAAACCCAAGTACCTAGTTATTGGGTCCATTGGACCCCTACCGTTTTATGATTAGACCTGTAGCTGGATGGTTGTTGCTGCCATGTTTGTCGTATAAGGCTTGTTTGCTGTCACAGGGTTCTTTAAGGGTTTAGGGTTTCGGGTCTGCGTGCTGCGTGCGCGGGGCGGGTAGGTTTCTTTCGAACTGAGGGCGCACCCACCTATCGCACTCTTAATTTTGCTTTGAGGGCTGTCTTTCGACTGGTATGGTTTCATTGGGGTTCTTCCTGGGATTATAACGGTTTCGGGTTTAAAAGGTTCGGCATGGGCTCCCGCAAAGGTTTTGCAGAGGCTTCTGGAAGGCTTCTCTACAGGGTCCTACCATGTGCCTTGAAGGACGGTATCGGGGGGCTTTCTACTGGAATAGCGTTTAGGGTTTCGATTTGGGGCTTTCCGAATATGGGAGACCCTAACACAGTACCCTAAATAGTAGGATCCCTATTATGGGGTCCCCGAAATAAGGTACCCCGAATTCTTGGACAATCCGATTTAGAAACCTTTAAGGTTCTACAGGTCTCTTGAAAGAGGCTTCGAAAGGCTTCCGGGGGGTTTCGGGCATCGGTGGCTTCTGAAAGGCTCCACCAGTCTCTTGAGGAGGCTTCATAGGGCTCATATGGGCGGTTGTCAAAATTATGGTCCCTGTTGGGTCCTTATTATAATACCTCACCTAATATTCAGGGTACCCAAAAAGTGGCCATGATTTTGACAACCACCCATATAATACTGTTTCCATTCCTAAAGGGTCCGTGCACGCTACGATTATGGTAATTAGGGCCCCAAAGCCGTAACAAGCATGGTCTTGTGGGACCTAACTGCATAATGGTAGTATGTATGGACCCTCTGGGATTAAAACTCGTTCGCGCGGCCCTGTTTCTGTCTGCATACGTTAGCTCCATGGAAACCTGGACAGCCTCATAACATCAAAAAAGGCTTTCATGTCCTTGAAACCCCCGGCGGCGCCTGCTGGTGGCCCAAGATCTTGTGCTGGGTCATCAGCTCGACTATCTGTCCCAACGTGTGGTGAAGCTTCGGTAGTTCCCCGAAAAGGGCTCTCATACGGGATCTATATCCTTTAAGGGTTCCCTTCAAGGGTTCCATATACCAGGGTTTCTCGGAGGGGTCCATCAGGTTTCGACAAGGTTAGGGGCTTGGGGGGGACTCTGGGTTCAGGGGCTTCGGGTTTAGAACCACCCAGAGACTCCAATACCCCCTAATTAAGGAATATTCCTTAAATTATGGTAGGATCCCTAATATGATTTAAGGTATATTCCTTAATTACGGGATATTGGAGTCTCTGGGCAGCGCAACTTAGTTGCTTTCGTCTTGGGGTACAGTGGAAGTCCACAAGTTGGAAACCCAATAGCCTCAAGAGTACTGTGTAGGGAATCCCAGCACCATTTGGCCTTAATCCGGTTTCCAACTTTATGGGGTTTACTGTAGGGGCTTTGGGGCTTAATGTAGGGCCTTTCAAGATCAGAACAGAGGTGAGGACACAAACGAAATTGATAAAGTGTGTTCGACGGGTTCTATGATACTTGGGCTTACAGGGGTTTAAGCTTGGCTTCGGGGTGCGTTGGTCTTCGGACCCAGGGAAGCAACATGTCAGACTTTAGAGTTTAAGGTAAAATCCAGAAAGTTGGAATATGATTATCCTAACCCTTCTATGGCAAATTATAGGGTATCCTACCATGAAACCATATTCCAACTTTCTGGAGTTCCCTGTAGGGTTGAGGGTCAGGGGCTACTGAACTGAGATGATTGAAGATTGTGTATGGAGAAACTAAAACAACATAGGGTTAAGAGATTGCTAGAGAAGCGCGCGGGCTCACGGGAAGCTGTGCGCACGGAGCTTGCGCATTTGATCCGTCGGCTGTGGAAACACAAAGCTATGAAGTTCACCGAGCCTGCCAGAGTTGAAAGTGTGACCAGGGCCGTGATCACACTTACGATGCCAGATGTGTCTCTTCCGAAGCTGGACTTCCGTTCAGTCGTGAAGCTTGCTGAAGATTTCACTGAGGAAAGAGCCGCGAAGCATGAATCCAAGAATCATTTTTCCATTCTCTGCGGTAGTGCTCGCCTAGCACGTGAATTCAGGTGAAACAGTGGGGGAAGACCTTAGTCCCAGCCGGCAAAACGAGAAGCCTGCCGCTGTCAGCCAATCTTTGGCCGGCCCTAGACTGCGGTCGAAATTGGAACATCGAATCTGAAGTGTGCAGCCCTCCTTCGTGGCAATCTCGAGACCCTGAGCAATCACTGTACAAGCTTGCTCAAGCCACGAGCTGTACGCTTGCCCAAGTCGAAGGCTGGTGCTGGTCGGCCCAAAGGGAGACAGGACGACGGGCGGTGGTGGCTGCAAATCAAAGCAAGGGCCCTCTGCGCAAGCCGGTAGGCTGAAGCTTGGTAGCGGAGCCCAATCCGGTTGGGACCCCATAGCAAAGGCATGTCGGTCGGCCTTGGCGCGGGCGGCTGTATCTGGCTCACCAATGAGCTCAGGGTCTAGCAGAAGCAGCACATTCTCGGCAGACTGGGTCACCCAGCTATCGTGCGGGCGGGAGTCTGCCCAGTGGCGAACAGTCGCACGAAGGATCTCCAAGGGCTCAATGAAATCAGCAACAGCTTCCCAGACGACAGATTCGTCAACCTCAGGGAGGTCTTGAAGAATGGCCAGGAGAGCCTCGGAATAGGCAGGCGAGGGGTCCGGGTCCAGAGAGGAGCCGAAAGTACCTGGGATCGGAATGGGCGGCAGCAAAGGATGAGTGGCAACAGAAGCAGCGGCATCACCTTGAGACGGTGTAAACCGGCCCCATCCAGCAATGCAGCGTCCACTTGAGAGGAGGTGCCGCCTCAGACGCCCAACCGTGCCATAGGTCTTGCCGCATGCGTAGCAAAGAGGCGAACGTCCCAAAAGAAAAGCTTTGGATCGATATCCGTGCATCCGGGCTGCATGCCCAGACCAGGCGACTCTTGACGTGAAGAGCTTGCCACATGGTATACACGCCTCAGGAAATGCAGATGCCATGCAGATACTGGGTGCCTGAGGAGGTGCAAGTCCTTTCAAGGCCTTATAGAGGCCTTCCAGAGAAGCCACAACTTGCTGCCTACAGCACTCTAACCCTTGGGCACGAAGGAGCAACCCCTTGTAACGCCCCGGGTGAGCACATGCAAAGTTGCACCAGTCTTCCCAATGACTGATGGGATGCTGGAGCGGACAGGTGCGAAATGTCCAAGCATACATCCACTCCAAAGCCTCCCGCATTGCAGTAAGGTATCCGGGATCGGATCGGATCGATGCCCACAACTCGTCCGGCCCGGATTTTATCAGCATGCGGAGATATAGGAGCCGTTGGACATGCAGCTGCACTTGTGGGCCAGGCAAGCCTGTCAACACAAGGATCGTGGAGGTATGGAAGTGCTGGTCAGAGGATGCCGGAATCCCACAAATGGCACGATACATGGCCCAAAGTGTGCCACTTAGCGCCTGAAGTTCTTGCTTCAGTAGCGGCGGCCAGGAGCCGCTGCCGTACAGTAATTTCGGCAGTACCGAAGATTTGAGAATGAAGGCACGCCTGCTGATTGGAACGCCCTTCGCCTTGTAGACCTTGTGTCGGCCTTCAGAAAAGGCCGCCCAAGATTGGGCAGCTCTATACTTGATTTCTGCAAGGAGGCTGCCTCTCACAGACTGAAGGACACCCAAATGCTTGTAGGCAGCCACAAGCGGAACTTTCACAGGCATTGAAGTTTCCCTCAAAGCGGAAACAGAGCCGTTGTGCCCTGTAGGTCCGAAGAGGGTGTGGCGCGCCTTGCGAGATCCTGGACCGGCAGCTTGCGCGAGGATCGCCGTCTTGTTCGGTCCGAATGACATCCGGAAGCCAAAGTTGGCAAAAGCGTCACAAAGGCTGCCTACACACGAGGCTATGCCAGCATCCAGTCGTGGAGTGGAGCGGGCGATCCGCAATGTGGCTGTGTCGTCAGCCCAGATCAGGTCGCCGATCGAGATCTGAGGGTGGTGGTCGGCGCACTCGTTGAGTGTCTTTTGACCGTCCCAGGGAAGGCTAGGGATCGTCGTGGCTGAGGTAGCGCCCAATCCCTCCATTGTGTCACGCTCCTTCAGAACTCTGCCGATCACCATGCCAAACAAGATATCTGCCCACGACGACCCAGGTCGCGTGCCCCGGGCCGTCAAAACAACCTTCGAGTCGCCCCGAAGGACGAACCAAGACCTGTCTGACAGCTGCTGTGCCATGGATTCCAGCCAGTCAGATGCCCCTGCTTGGGAGAGGCCGGTGCGGCCCTGCACGTGTGCCTTTAGAGCAGCAATCTCCTCAGAGGAAAGTCCCAAGCCTTGACAGATCTCATCTGGCAGTGGCGCAGTGCCAGGCCCAGTATGGCAAGGAGCCGCAACAAGCTGCCTCACCACGGCGTAAAAGGCAGATGCAATGTCTGAGAACAGTACAAAACAGCTCTCTTTGCGGCGAAGGCATCGTCTGAGGAAGGACCTGACCAAATGGGCTCCGAAGCACACGGCCTGGCCGGGTTTGCCTCCTAGTTGTAAGGAAGGAGTGCCTTGGACATACAAGTCCCGGATCGCAGGCCTGACTGCTTGATGCAAGATCTTGGCAAAGCATGGCAGGAGTATGATTTGCCTGAAAGACTCGCAGGTGTCTTTCGCACCACGCCCCTTATGAAACCAAACGGCCATGCCACCTTTGAGGCCCATGGCCTCCTGGCCTCGGAAGATGAGTTTTAAGAGGAGCGGGTAAAGCACCTCCGCACAATGTGGCGCAAAGCTTCGCAAGAACTCGTTGGGAAGGCCATCCATGCCTGCCGCCTTGCCACACTTTGCAGAGAGCATAAGGCGTATCAGGTCTGGCTTAGTGGGTAGCTCGCTGGTGTTCTGTGGCTCTGGCCATGCCGGTGGGCTGACGTCGAACTTGGGTCCAAGCTCTCTTGGAGTCATAGCGGAGCCTGCTTCCATTGAGGCGAAGTATTCTCGCCATCTCTGCAAAGCCGCATCTGCATCCTCGCAAAGATTGCCCTGGGCATCTCGAACCTGAGGGAGAGGCTCTGGCGCATAGGGCTTCTTACGTTTGTGCCGCAGAAGCTTATGCAGCGCATCATGCACCTCAGTGTTGGGTCCCGTGGCCAGTTGTTCGGCTAGTCGAGCAGTATACAGCGCACGGTCTTGCTTGCAAGCGATGCGGAGTTGCTTGCTCCCAATCCGGATGTGATAGTAGTGGAGAATGGCAGAAGTCATAGCCTTATCGGCCCAAGCCCCGGACCACGGAGTGGCAGCGGAGCTCAAGGGTTGCTCACGCCATCGTGCGAAGATGAAGGCCATGGTGTTCCACTTGGTTTGCTCTTGCAGCCGGCTGAGTCCTCGCTTGAGGCTCGTCACGCGCTGTTGCAGGGTCCATGTGCTGTCCTGCAGATAGACATGGTGTGGCTTGGCTGGCCGTGTAGGCACCAACTTGGCCAACCCCTGTTGCAGATGGTCGACGACCACAGCGGCATGGGCATGCACAGATGCCTTCCAAGGCACCTGAGGTGTTGACCGTAAAAGATCACTAATGTCCTCCTTGAGGGCGGGATCTGCAAACATCTGTGGTGGGAGTCGCACGCGGCGGGGCAGCTTCTTTCCAAGCGGCATGCACATCCGCACTGCACAGTTGAGAATCGTGGCGGTGTGGTCAATGCATGTTGAAGCAACCTGTATGCCTGGATCCGTCCACGCTTGACAGCATCCACTCTGCCAGGTCTGTGGCACGGCAACCAGGTCTGGGCGGCATGGTTTGCCATTCCGCTTCTGGTGGAACGTGGCAGCCGGGCCTATCTGGCAGTTGTCAAAGGTGCAAGGCAGCCAGCACTGACATGCTCGGAGCAGGTCATGCAACTGCGCTCCAGGGGCATCCTCTTCTTCAGCAAAAACTGAGGAGACATGTTCGGAAGGCACGCTACCTACAGAGCAGTTGAGATCGCCTGCGATAATCACAGGATCCTGGCGCCGGAATTTTGCGATTAGCCTGGAGGTTTCTTGCCACCAATCAGCGATCAGTTGTCGCTCTGTCGCTCGATGTGGTGCATGGAGCGAGCAGAAGAGCAGAGCTAGTTTGCCGAAGACGTATCTGGCAACAATGCGCCGCGGGTCGGCATGACAGACAACAAAATGCTGCTCAGCAAAGACAGCGGAGGTGGTATTGCCGTCGCGGGCAGTCAGCACAAGGTGTCCCTCACGGAACCACAGTTCCGTACCGTGTTGGCCTTTGGGTGCTCCAGAAGAGAAGCGCAGGTAGCCTCCAATCTTGGATGAACCCTGAGGGCACCGGGTTTCCTGCAGTGCTGCTACGGATATGTCACAGTCAACAAGTTGTTTCGCCAACAAGGCTGCCCGGGCAGGCCTCTGGTGCAGGCCTTGTTCGCCCGAACCTCTACCCTCGTCGTCTTCAAGACAGGCACCTAAGCTTAGGGTGTTGAAGGATGCTATGCGAAGCCGAAGGTCGGAGCTTTGCATGTCGGGCGAAGGGGTGGCGTGAGTACAGTCAAGATCGGCTGGCAGAAACGGTTTGAGCATTTGTTCATGGCTAAGGCCCAAATGCCACATGTCGTGGCCTAGTGTTGTTGCACCTGCCTTTGGCAGGGTCGCATCACAGCGTAGCTGCTGGAGTGCAAGAGTGGCCCATGGCAAGTGTCCAGCTCCTGCGGAGAGCCAGAAATGAAGGGCATCCGGTAGCAGCCCCAGACAGGTTGCGACCTGGGGCATGTGGGCTCCTTCTTTCGCTAGCCCATCCGCAAGCTCATTGAACAGGTGACCCTTATGCCCTGGTACATAATCATAACGATCTTTGGGGAAACTCAGACCTCGGCGAAAATCAAAGGCATGGCACATGGCCTGTGCGCAGCCCCCACGCTTGCATGCAAAGCGTCCTTCTGCTCCTCGCAAGGCTGAGGTGCAGTCCGAAAGGTACGTTACAGCACAAGAGGAGAAGCCAGCTTTGGCACCAAGGGCTGCAACTGCAAGGGCGAAGCATTCAGCTGTGTACGCCGAGAGCGTTTCATCACTGCCTAGGGCCCACAGTGGAACATGGCCTTGGCCTGCCCCGATAGCTCCATGGTCTAAGTCGACAAAAATGCATGCCCATCCTGCATAAGGACTGCGGTCGCCAGTGCAGGATAAAAGGAACCATCAGTAAAGCACAGGATTCCTTCATATCCATCCTGGCTTAACGTCTGAATGGTTCCTAATGCTTGGGAGTGCAAGGTGGGGATGTTCTGGAAAGCAGGGCGGCTGATGATCTCTGCCCAAGGAGTCAAGGTGACAGAGAGGCTGTCAAGCTGCAGGAGCTGTGGCCAAGTGAAGCCAAGAGGTGTGCCGCCAAAGTGTACATCCCCAACAGTATGCCTTGGATTTTGAGCTGGCACCTGTGGGAGAGCATCATGCAGGCAAATTGCTGGCCTCACGGTCTTCGAGGCGAGTGGCAAAGGGAAGGCCTCGAAGAGCACTTCCAGCGTGGCTGTTGCCAAAGCAAAAGCTGGGCAGGCTGTGTCATGTCCAGCTTGTTCCAACAAAGTAGGCTGTCGCAGCCTGGCCCAAGCAACCGAGGTGCACACAGTAGGGCATGACTTCCCCAGGCAATCCCAAACTAAACCCCAATCTTCATCATCGGAGCTATCCTCTGCCTCCGTAAATCCAGGTACTGCTCCGAAAGGGGTTCGGGCTCGACACGGCGTAGGGATCGTGCGATGTGCTTTGTTGCCCCCAGAGGGTCCTCGCTCGAGCTGGGCAAGGTGGACACCGAGTAAGGGCCCCTCTGCACGGATTTGCACAGCGGCACCTGGCTGGCTGTGTCCCCAAAGAGTGCAGAGGACACACCACACACAAATCTCAGCAGGTGAGAGGCTTCGGCGGAAATGCCCTAGAGCCAGGAGACAAAGGGCTGTCAAGATGTGTTGCGGGGTGCAAGGAGACGGAGTCAAGGCCAATGGATGGCGTGCAGAAAAGTGTCCACCCTCATGGTTGGTAGCTGCCAGGCAAGCAACAGAGGTGTCCGCGGGGTGGCCCGAAGTAAGGGCGTGTAGCATAGAACCCCACATCCACATGACGCAGCCCAGGCAAAAAGCAAAAGCCAAAGCGACGATTGCATAGGTGTCCACAATCTTTCGGAGCACAACCCCAGGCGTAGAGGGCCACTGCAAGTCTTTAGTGCCAAAATGCCTGGTGCGCGGGCTATGTCCGGCTCTAGTCACAGGGGGAGTGGTGAAGCCTGAAGGCAGGGTCGCACTAGGCACGTCCTCATCCATGGGCACATCGTCGGAGTCGCTGTCGTCCGGGTCACGACGGTCTGGCTCCGGCGGGGGAGAGCGCGGAAGCTCAGCTTCCCAATGTTCACTTGGTGGTGGACTGCTGTCCTCCTCAGCAACAAAATGCGCAGTGAGCACCTGTCCGGCCTGAACATGCATCCATGTCTGGTCCCAGCCCCTCTCCATAGTACCTCCCGTAAAGGCGATGCGGCAGCGGGGGGGAATAGGCTCGGATATCATGTCGAGTAAGGAACTTGCAGGTATGCGGCCCCCGTCAACCAAACCCCAAACTACTCCTTGAAGGATAGGCCTTTTATCAAGGAAAAAGATGGTCTTGCGCGAGGTCCTCCGGTACGGAGGCACAGTCAGGAGCTGTATCCTCTCGGTGGCAACAATGAGTCGGTCGCAGGGATGTCCACGGCAAGCGTAGTCCTGAAGCATGGGCACGGCTGGCTGAATCGCGATTCGGTCCGCAGAGCTGAGCAAGCGAAGCGCCAGTTCACTGCGGAAATTGGCGCGATTGCTGTTGGAGGCATCAAAGCAGACCGGCATTGCATCAGTGAGTACCCAGATGGCTCGTCCCGGTGGATGCTCGGGCATGGCTGGAGCCTCCGTCCAGGTATCGGTCCGAAGCAACATCTGTTGCAGGTGAAGGCCCGGTCGGTACAAAGCAATCTGGGGAGCAAAGGTAATCAGGACTCCACAGTACAGATGTCCAAATTGTTCTCTGCCGAGCTGGACCCATGAGTCACCAACATACACGGCAGTGTCGGCGAAATGGTCAAGGCCAGCCGCAATCAAGAGGGACTCTCTCTTGAGGTACTCAGGCAGCAGTAGGCTGAAAATTCGGCCATTGCAGAGCCGGGCATCTATGCAAACCACATTATAGTCCTCGGCCCATCCCGGCATGGCGAGAAGAGTGCCGAAGTCATCTTCTGGTTGTGGCTCTACTGGTATCAAGAGCGAATGCCAACTTTGTCTCTCAACATCCCTTGCCTCAGCAATAGCCGCAACGGCTGTACTCAGAGGGCAAGGAACATGCAAGGTGATAGCAACTTCCTCCGCAGCATACTCAGGTGTGAGTATGAGGAAGTGCCACGGCCTAAAAACCGGGGGGATGACTGCCTGACCAATTGCGGGTTGGGCTTCGAAGTCAGGCGGCTCGCGTTGGTATGCATCTCTATAAGCTCCTGGAGGAGCGTAGAGGCGCGCTTCCTGATGCGCTTCCCGCGCAGCAGGCGTCGCGGAAGTCCCAGGCCCATCATGTCCCTTGCAAGCTCGTGGAGCCCCTACGCCTTGCACAACCGTCAGGACAAGGTGGAAACATACAAGAGCCTCAATGAGGCACTCGATTGCCCAGACATAGCACACTACAAAGCGTACAAGAATATCTGGCTCTTGAGTGAGTCTTGCAGTCCCCAAAGTAGCCTGCCAATGAAAAGGCTTGCTGAAAGGGAGGAACCGAAAATCACCTAAGTCCAAATTGGCGGTTCCCAGGTGGCGTCCAAAGGCCTCTCCAGCAATTGGAGCATGCTTCGCGCTCATGTGGATGGGAAAAGGGTAGCCGTCGTGGCAGGAAAGCTTAGTTGTACATCCCGCGCCGCCATATCTCCTGGGTGATCTGCTACGGGGCCTGCCCAGGAAGCTATCGCCGCTGGAAGATGCGTCTTCAGCTGAGCTGTCATGCAAGGAGCTGTGATCATCATGGCCTGCGGCTGATCCGTTCTCAGAGGGCGGGGGGCTCGGATGCTCGTCATGGTCTTCCTGAAAATCCACATCTACTTCGGGATAGGCAGCCAAGACAAGTGTATCTCCTGAAGCGGAGGAGACAAAGCTTTCACGCAAGGGCCGATTATCAATTCTGATAGAAAGCCCGGCAGGTGGGAAAATGTTGAGGTCACAGAGCACAGTGGGAATGTGCCTCGTATTCCCAAGCTGATAGTGGCAGGATGGGCGGAGTCCTAGGGGCCTAGTGTCAAGGAAAACCACATTATCCCCGCGTGCTTGCCCTTCATGAGAAGCAGGTGGGGGAGCTAAGGTAGCACACGCAAGACCTTTGCACGGATTACCATGAACTGCAAGGTTGTCAAAGGCAGGAGGTGTGGCGACCTTAAGCTGAAAGGCGTCCTCAGGAAGTCCGATGCACTGTGCAGCCACTTCACCCGGCGCCTGACCCGGATAAGCACGTCGGTTAATGAAGTAGCGGTGTTGCGCATGCAAAAGACAAATGCCGGTTTTAAGGTAGGCTCTGGGGTATTGTGCTGCAGGGCCCCAAAGCCCGGGATTGGCCAGTAGTTGCTCGAAGGACGGCCTGGGCGTCCTCGCAACACCTGTCGGCACAAAGCTGACAACCATGCCATCAACGAAGTGGCACTGCATGTCTGGCGGGTGTGGTCCGTCAGAACAGCCAAGGTGCACATCAACATCTTCAATGGCATTGGACAGAAGAGGTCGCACATAGGCCAGCAGATCTGCAAAGTTGAGCCGGCTGGGGAGCGCAACGGCAAAACGATTGCCGTCACAACGGAGCAGATCCAAGATCACCACCCTCAGGCCAGCACTGACAATGCAGGGGCTGGAGGCCACTACCATGGCATAGTCATCGAAGACCTGTGGGGTTGCGGGGGTGATCAAGTGGAAAGTTTCATGAAATGCCGTCGTAGCCGCAGTGACGGCATGGGCAAGGACATCGTCAGCATCGTCACCTTCCTTCAAAGAGAGTTGGCAGTGATGAGGCTGATATCCGGGTGCCAAGATGGCCAGACCAAGTACATTGTGTGCAGCAGCTGTTTCGGCTGGGAGGTCACCTGAGCGATTCCCACCTTCTGGCACAGCGAGCACGCTGCCTGGCTGCGGAATGTCAAGTTCCTGGAGCGCAGGCAAAGCATGTAGGTGTGGGACAGCCCAAACTTGCGAAGGTAAAGACAGAAAGCAGAGGCAAGCTATGCACAACCTTCCAAGCATCCCAAGCCTTGGTGTCCCACTGCGGATGGGGCGCCTTTTGACATGGGTCGGGTGCCACGACAGGCACACTTTGCTGCACTGAGCACATTCTGCAAGTGGCCCAATGGATGCACCAAGCAGGTCTCCGGTCAACGCCTGAGATCGTATCTTATTTGGGCATCCGCAGGGGTGTCTTCGGCAAGTCAGCAACCGTACACAGCAGCACAAAGTGTATAGCGCTAAGAAGTGCCCAAGTCCAGCTGCATGTTGAGCCCACAGGCAGAAGAAAGAAGGGAAGCTTTGCCTGCAGAAGAGGCAGGGCATACGCGAGGCTGCGGGAAGCAGGGAGACAGTGGCTGGTGTCCCAGAGCCACCGATACACCTATTAGGCGCCACTATCACCTGCTCCTTTCCAAAACTCGAAGGCCAACCACTATTAGGGGGAAGGCCTAAACCAAAACTAGGGCCTACAGGGGAACTGCAAGCACAATTTGCAGCAAGTCCAGCATCCGTTGACTTGTTGCAGTCTGAGAGCCGTGGATCGGCAAGGGCCGAAATGTAACACAGGGATCGCCCAAAAAGGCGAAAAGAAGGTGCAGATGGCGTCTTCAAGCCGAAAGAACGCCCTTTGCGAAAGAGGATGCAAGGCAACCAAGATTGACACACACTGAGCCTAGCAGAAGTCAAAGCCAAAACTCTGCAGGTCAGCGTGTGAAGTGGAGGTGCCATCTGGACAGAGACACAAGGGCCAAACCCCAGCCTGTGCCTGCCCAATATGCCACCTAGGGGGCAGACTGAAGGAGGGCCGCTCTGTACAGCACAAACTACCCTAAGGAGAATTCTGTACATGCCCATCGGATCACCAACATTCAAAGTGGATCTCAGAAGGCAGCCAAACTTGCATACAGCGGACAGCTGTCGCAAGGGCTGCCCTCCGTGAATCACTCCATCCTCGTAAGCCCTGGGGAAGCCGCATTGAGTTCTTCTTCCACTAAATTGATCTGGTCGGGAGGTCGCATCTCTGCAGGTGGCGGATCCACGGCGTCCGATCGCGAGTTTGCACCTTCTGCAGGCCTGTCCAAGCCGAAGGGGGCAAGGGCTGTCCTCCTTGCCACATGCAGCTTGTCCGCCAAAGAAGGACCGCCCGGCACTTCCACATGCACCGGTTGCTGCGGGAGTTGCTTCACAGGTGTTCTGCAACGGCTCGCCGATCGTGTGGCAGCTGGAGGCATCCCAGCCGAGGTCTGAGCAGAAGCTTCCGGTGCCGCAGTCTCCGGCGGAGCTGTGGCTGGTATTGGCCTTTCTCGCATAAAGGAAGCTGGGCTGGCCGCCAGATAAGGATCGACACGAGCTCTCGGTGAGGCGCCTGCATACGCCCGGACTGGCCCAGCAGCAATAGCATCTTCTGCTGGCCGCCCTGAGGGTGTTGTGCTCTTGGTCTGGCTGGGCTCCTTCAATAGGCTGTCGGCCCCAAATATATCTGCAAGGTCCTTGGTAGCATCTTCTCTGGTGTAGGGCCGCTGTGCACGGAGGCTGGCCTCCACCATGGCGTCCCACTCCATGTCCCCAGATTCCTCGGTTTCTCCAGTCTGTCCCTTCGTCAAGAAGCCATCGGATGCCTTGCCAAGGGCTGCCCTTGCGATCTCCTGTCCACGTGCTGCTGCTGCAACCTCCTGGTCGAAGTTGTCGAGGGCATCGAGGTGTCTCTGCTTCTCCGCGATGAACGAAGATTGCAGCTCTTGCGTGTAAATAGCCCAGCGTTTGATTTTGTCCTCGCGTTCTTTTTCGACCTTGGCACGCCGAGCGTCTGCCTTCCTGACCTGGTTGACAGCAAACTGGACATCCTTCAACACACTGGGTTCGGAGGGACCTGCACGAGACTCGGACAGGATCGTGATGGCCGCTTTGCTCCGGCCTTCCGACCATTGACCATCGTAGGCCGGGAAGAGGCCCTGGTCCTGGGGTTGCTGCCAAGATGATCGCTCCCAAGCCGACCATGACCCACGCCAGTAGCGTGAAGGCTTGTTGCCCTTGTTCCAGTCTTGCCATTCTGCTTGTCCGTTCTTGGCAGGTTTGTTCGACTTTCCCATAAGCCGCGATACCTGTGTCCAGGGTGTAGCGTGATGAACAAGGAGAGCCGAAGTCTGACGGCAAGTCAGTGTGCTGCCAGCTTTCAGTTTGCGGCGGGCTTTTGCCCTTGTTCTCCTAGCCTGGCGATGCCAAGCTGGAGATCCTCGATGCAGCCCTATGTTTCCACGAGAGGCACAGGTGGAAAATAGCGAGGGATGCGTGGGGGCGAGCAGCTATCGACCGCTGTTGGTCGTATTCTGAGCCCCTATCCAAGAATCAAAGGCTCATGATTGCCTCCGGCCGCAGTAGGAGTAGAAGACGCAGCCGAGGTCGGTCTCGCTCCTTGGTTCCTCAGCCCGCAATTCCCAGAGGCCCTCATGCGACAAGTGCTTGCCGCAGTAGGAGCAGGCCGATTGGGGGTGGCGATCGCGCCGTGAGCTCACAGGCCCCAGTCCGTTCAGCACGAAGCAAGGCAGGTGCAGCGCCCACCCCAAGGGCTGCCGTGTTGCGTAGTCCTTTGACACGTTGTCGGAGGCGTTTAGATTTGGATGTTGCTGCCGAAGTGGCATCCGCTCCCACGCGGATGGGACATGCTGATGTGCCTAAGGAGAGCGGGGTTCCAAAGTCCAGCGAAGGTTCCTCGAACTTGCAGTCGGCGATTAGTCATTTGCTGTCAGCTAGCCCGCGCAAACAGGCCAGGCTCATCGAAAGCATTGTCCAGGCACAGCAGTCGGAGCCCAGTGCCCCATCCAGCAGTGTGGCGCCAGCCGGATTTCAGCAAACTGCTCCAGAGGGGGTTGAGGCTGTAATGACGCGGCAAAGTGTTGAGCTTCAGGAGAAGGGTCCTGAAGCTTTGGCGTTAGTCCCGTACGCAGATACTGCGACAGGGGTAGTGCCAGATCCGCCAGTGCTTATTCCAGCCAGGGACCGTTGGTCTGCTGTTAGGTGCTCGAAGCCGCCTGTGGACCCCACGGTGCTTTTCCAACAATCCTTGATGGACAAATCTGGTCCTGTTTCAGGTCCTGAGGTGCAAGAGTTCGAGTTCGCATCCAGTGCAGAGACTGATGATGGTAAAATGTGGGATTTCTTCCATATGCTGGCGAAGCTCAGTCCCCCAGTAATTGTGCAAGAGCTCTACATTGGCACTGCTTGGCAGCACCGTATCAATGCAAAAGGGGCAGAGGGTACCGAGTATGTCACGGCAGTAAAGATTTCGCCTGATGGCCCGACACTTAATTGGTGGCTCCGGGATGACGGTCGCATCCGTATTGACGGAAAGGCGTCAGTTGTGGATGCTTTCAAGCCCAGGTTGCGAGTGCTTCTCCCCAAGTATGTCAAGGGTCAAACGCGTCACAGTCAATTCACTGGGAAGGCTGGCAAAGCAGGCAAGCCCCGTATGGGCCAGTTTTCTCGCGAAGCAGCAGCGAGGCAAGAGCGTCAGGAGAGGATCCGAGGTCAAATTCTCATGCTTTCTGAAGCTGTGATTTTCTGCCCGCATGGGAAGCAGGGGGTTTGGGATGTCCTTGAATCTGCTGTGGGTGTGCGAAACGTGCCAGATAACAAAACCATTCCTTGGCCCCTTTTCCTGCGGAATGGTGCTATGGTCCAGATTTGGGCGGATGGCAGGATTAAAGCAACGACCAGCACGGCAGACATTTCGTGTTTGGATGAAGTGGAGAGGGTGCTCATGCAAGATATGGATGCTCGCTGGGTTCCTGCTCCCTCCGTGTTTCAAGGAAATCGTCCTTTGAGTGTTGGTTATGGTCTGAAAGGCCCCCGCGCGCGTGACCGTAGCGCTGAGCCTCAGCTTTTTCATTAGGCGGCTCCATACTGGCAGCTTTCCAGCGGCTGTTCAAGGTTGATCCAGTAGGGGTGGCGCCTTCATCTCATCCTTCTGTGTTGTCCGCAAGAGAATCCTTTGCACACGAATGCAGAATTACTGAAGAGCAGCCGTTTATGCAGTCATTGTCACTTGAGCGCTCCTGGATTGCCCCAGTCCTTGCTGTTGGCAAATCGTTACAAGTTTTGGGCCACAGCGTGATGCAAGATATAGATGCACTTCGCAATGAGCGGTGTTGGTCAAATTCGGAGCTTTCTTTCCTCCAATCAGGGTTGGCTGCAGCTGTACGTGTAATTGATCAGCAACTGAGTTTGGCGAGGAAGGAAGCGCAACAGCTTGTGAATGAGAAACACGGTCGTAAGAACTGTGATAGTTTGGGATGCACGGCTTCGGCCTATGCAGGCCCTCCTATGGCAAAAGGTGTGGGGGATGTTTGTCGCCAGTCGGTGGATGCCGATAAAACTCTGGGGCCTCAATCCTTCAATATCACTTGCCTCAATTTTGGGTACAGTGGTGGGGCGGATCCTGCTGGCAAGGTTCTAGCGCTTGACCGGTGGAGGGATATTGCATTGGTGGCCACAAGCCTGCAATCGGACTTTTTGGTTGGGGTTGCTTGTAGATATTTGCATGGTGTCGATTTGCGTGCTGTGCTCCCGGAGTTCCCTTTTACAGCGATGGGTCCCAGATCCAAGCATTACGATGCAGTGGTGGGGTTTTCTCCTCATGATACAGACGAGGAAGCTTTGTGGTGTTCGGAATGGTCTTGGACAAGCAGGGTATCCTGGTTTCGTGTCCTAGATGGTGTCATCGTGGCGGGGTTTACCTTACCTCCTAAAGGTAAAGTCTCAGAAGATGAGAGGAGTGCACTTGCTTTGGGCATTTGGGCACAATACGACGAAGTACGAGCGAAGTTTGGCAATGATACTCACATAATCCTCATGGGTGATTTGAATCCAACTGTGAGACTTGAAGAAGAGTTTCAGCGTCAATGCTTGAAGCGTGGTCTGTCACAGTTTATTCCCACGGATGTTAGCACCCATATTGACGGCAGACGCCTTGATGTGGTTGTTAGTTCCTGTCCAACCTTGCTTGTGCAAGTCCACAACGGCAAGCACTGCAAAGACCATGGATGCTTGCGACAGCAATGTGGCCGCCTCAATGAAATCCTGGACTGCAAGGATCTCGATCACTTTCCCATCACAGTGACGTAACTTGGATTCTCAAGTAGCTTTGTTTTTCCTTTCTTGTTTTGCTGTATTGTCGGCGTGATGTGTTCCGCTGTTTGGAGCCTGAGCTGCAGCTGGTGGCATTGGAGGTGGCTAAGTCTCCAGGTTTCCGGCTCCCGGTTTGGAGGGACCCAAACCGGGAGTTTGTAGTTCGGACAACGGCCCGGTTTGGGACCGCCCCCCTGGCAGCTGATGCGCATGATGCGCGCCCTCGGGTCCGCCCCTTGGGCAGCTGATGCACATGATGCGCGCCTTCAGTGGCGCTGGTTACTGGTGCATTAAGCAAATACCATTCCGGCTGGCGGAGTTGGATGCACATTTTGCCCTGCGAAAGCCTGGTTTTTACTCCTTGGGGTTGTCATCAGGTGTTCAGTGGCGTGCAGCGTTCATCTGACACGTCAGGTACAGGGTTTGTAGTAATTAGGAGTTGCTGGGTGCATTTGGACCTTTCCGGTTGTGTGGACTACACGCAACTTGGCTTTGGACTTGCTAAGGCTGGTTCTACTATTTCTTTGTTTAGGTGTCCATGAGCTATGCAGAGGCTTCCCCTCTTGCCTGCTCTTGGCTGACCGTTTTATTTAATGTTTATTGTGGCAGGAAGTGTCTTGGTTTTGCAGTTCTCGCTAATGCCGCGTTTGAGCCATGTCAGGTTTTGTTCAACCTGCTTGCTCATGGTGGGTGTGTGTTTGTGTGTGTGTGTGTTTTTGTTTTTGTGTCGTTGTTGTTGTGCTTGCGTTGGGGGATTTCTCCGTTTTTTTGTGTTCTTTATGGTATGGACAGAGACGATTGCGCTCAGTACAGCAGCACTCAGTGATGGCAGAATGTGGAAATTCCGTTTGTTACAGGTGTTGGCCATCCAGTTCATCGGCAGGAAAGCACGGTATACTTAAGCCACTTCAATGGGCTACAGTCTTTACTGCAGAAGCAGATCTTTGGCATGAAGCCGTCAAGGCTTCTTTCAACACTTTCCTGGAGCTGGCGGCTAGGGAGATAAATGACTGGACCTACCATCGTGCGTCATGGGGGATGCAAAACGAACAGCGTCTGGAGATGGGTGCCGCTGCCGGCTTCTGGATCTGGCGTGCGTGTCATCTCCTGGCGGCATGCCGCGAAAGCTTGTTTAAAGTGTTTCCGCGTGGAAATCAACGGCAACGCCGCGGTACATCCCTGTGCCAAGCCAGCTTAACGGCTGGAGATGTTCAGTTTTTTCGCAATCACAAGAAGGAGGCAAGGTTCATTCGTTCTGTAGAAGTCTGTGAAAAGTATTTGGATCTTGTTGCTACCGATCATGGTGCCGCTGAGCGTTTTCTATCTCGCCTGCTCAAAGACACTGGTCATGGGCTGCCAGAGGTTGTTTTTTCAGTCGACAATGGTGGTTTAGTCGCCGGCTCTGAGGTTTACAATCAAGCAGCAATGTATTTGCAACAAAGGGGCGTTGATCACCCTCGCAGACTCCAGTTGAGCACAGCAGTCATAAAGAACTTGGACGCCAAGTGTCAGCGCGTGATTGGCGGCTTCCGTTCTGTATGGCGTGAAAGATGGGCTGAAAATCATGTCCCTTATGCTGCTGCAGATGTGGAAGTAGCCTTGAAGGCCATGGATTTTTCGAAGTCGGCCGTGGGAATTCCCCGTGCAGCTTTCCAGGTTATGTGTGCTGGTAGTGCCGCTATGCAACTAGCCTGCCAGAATCGAGCTCGTTTTTTCATGGTTATACCTTCCTGTTTGAAGGCAGGACGTGTTTTCCACATCCATAAAAGTGGGAAGCCAAAACTGTTGTTATCTTCTTACCGCACGATCGTCCTTAGTTTCCCTGATTTGTCTCTGGCTGAAGCTCTATGGGCGGCAAGATGTGTGGACGATTTGTGGGCTGCAGCTGGAGAAGCGCAGTTCGGAAGGCAAGATGCTCTATTGGTTTCAGCGATGGATTTGGACGCTTCTCGTATTCGTGAGTTTC